TATACCGCTTCACAGTGCTTTTACAGCCCTCTCTAAGCGGTTTACAGAGTCAGTCTCTTGCGCCCAACAAAGTGGGTCCTCATTTTACCCACCTCAGAAGGATGGAAGGCTGAGTCGACCTTGAGCCTGGTGAGATTCGAACTGCCAAATTGCAGGCATAGCCTGCAGTACCCCCTCTAATCACTGCGCCACCACGGCCCATGTCCCTAGAGCTCCTTCGGGGCAGTTTTTGGAAGCAGATCTTCCCAAAGACAGGAGCATCTCCCTAATCCGAATTGCTGTGTTCCCGAAGGAGGCCTGCTTTATCCAAGAGTGTGCTGTGAACTGCTTTCAGTTTTGGAGAATTTATTAAACCAGGAAACCCCCGACTGCCCCCAGAGCGACAGCTGCCTGTGGGGTGGTTCACCCTGCTTCTTTCTGCTCCAGGTTTGCCATTGCCAAAAAGGAGTGGACTTGAAAAGCCACCATAAGGTCCCATAAGTGGGACCACAAGGCTGTTGTGGCCCTCCAGCGGCCAGCAGAGCTGGCAACAGAGTCCGACAGTGAGGAGTTTGGGGAGGAACATGGGCCAGTCCTGGAGTCTGGGGAAGGCTCAGATGAGGGCTCTGCGTCGGAGGCAGAGAGGGAGCCAAGGCTGGATGTCAGTTATCATCTGCCTCCAGAGCTAGAAAGCAGTGAGGTAGAGGAACAGCTGGAGCCTGTTCCCAGTGTGTGCATGCGCAGAGCTGCCAGAAGAAAAGAACAGCTAATAAATCAGGGTCGACTTGGAAGTAAAGCTACAAGTGGACGATGAATGGCCCCTCCCATAGGAAATAAAAGAGGAGTGAAAGGGGAGGGGGCTTTTGCAGGAAACAATTTGTTCGGTCGTTCGGTTCAGGAGTGTGAAGATCTGTCCGTGAATCTCAAGAAACTCTGTGCCCAAGTCTTTTCTTGCACAGCCCTGCGTTTGGAAAATATTCACATGGCAGCTTTCCAAGCCAGATAAGGTCTGTGGTCATAAATCCACCTTTGGAAGACTGCTTGCCAAGCCTTTGCTGAAAGTGAATGAGAGGAATTCACATTTGTTTAATAAAAGGGGTTTTGTCGGAACGGGGATTCTGCTTCGTGCTTTTTGGGGATGCCTAAGTCAGAACAGAGGCCTCCAACTGATCCTCATCTGTGTGTCAGCTGATACTGAATGGGGTGTGTGTGTGTTTCAATGACACCGTAACCTGGAAGCTTTTCCCCTTGAGGGCTGCCATCCCCTGCTCATTTCCCCCCACCTGTCGTTCCGCGCAGGGAGTGGAGAGCGTGTTCGACATCATGGAGATGGAAGACGAGGACCGCAACGTCCTGCTTCAGCTCTCCGACGCCCAGATTGCAGATGTGGCTCGCTTCTGCAACCGATACCCCAACATTGAGCTCTCCTACGAGGTGGCGGAAAAGGAGAGCATCCACAGGTAAGGAGGGGCGAGGAAGGTTGCAAGAGAAAGACTTCTGTGATACAGCTTGTAGTTAGCAGTTTTTGCTTTCTTTCTGTTCTCGTGGCTTATTGATGGAGGCAATAACAGTTTGTTGCAGAAATCAAATACAGAAAGCACACACAGGCAGACTGATGCAGCTGGATTCATTATAGACATATAATACATGAAGATAAATGTACAATACCAGTACAGATTCTTCTTCAACGTAGTAACAGCTATAAGCAAAACACAAGGCAGGAGAGAACAGTTAGTTTCATTTCAGCACAGAAGACTAGTTTCAGTTTCTCTGCACAGACTCAGACGCTGCAGACTAAGACATGCCCTGGCTCCATGTGAGTTGACCACTTTCTTTGTTTCTCCAGTGGAGGACCTGTGGTTGTGCTGGTGCAGCTGGAGCGAGAGGAGGAGGTAACCGGACCCGTGATTGCCCCGCTGTTCCCACAGGTAAGCGGGATCCTCTGTGAACCGGTAGTGGAAATTTTGAGTAGTTCGGAGAACCGGCAAATGCCACCTCTGGCTGGCCCCAGGAATGGGGAGGGAATGGGGATTTTGCAATATCCTTCCCCCAGGAGTGGGGAGGGAATGGGGATTTTGCAATATCCTTTCCCCAGGAGTGGGGAGGGAATGGGGATTTTGCAGTATCCTTCCCCTGCCACGCCCACCAAGCCACGGCCACAGAACCCGTAGTAAAAAAATTTGGATTTCACCACTTGTTCCTTCCCTCTTTGAATAACATGAATTTGTGTTACTCATGAGTAAATCGTTTCTCACGGTGTGAGAAGGCTAGGTCAGACCAGGCCGAGGGCCTGCCTGTTGGGACTGAGGCTACACCGTTGTTGCGCTCCTAACTTTATCCTCTTTGCCGCTGCTTTCCTGCAGAAACGCGAGGAAGGCTGGTGGGTGGTGATCGGCGACTCCAAATCCAACAGCCTCATTTCCATCAAGCGACTGACGCTGCAGCAGAAGGCCAAGGTAAGACGCTCACACTTCTACGTCGGTCTTGATTATTGTTCTGAGCCAGTTCCCCAAACCCGACCCACCCTCTGAAGTGAACGCAAAGATTCCTTTAATTAGGAGCACCAGCAACCCTGCAACAAAGTTTCCCTTTCAAATGCAGGCTAACAAGTCCGTCCGGCAAGGAGATGAATAGTTGTCTGCCACATCTTTTCCTCTCCGCCCCCTGCCTTTTATCCCCAGAGCTTGGTAGCAGCGGTGGCTCTTTCGTCCCGAGGACCGGCCCATAGATTTCCACTGCTCTCCTCTCCTCTGCCTTCTGTAAATCCACATATCAGGCACTGGACCCAGCTGTTCCTCCTCCTCATCAGCCACCTCCAGACCTGGGGGCTGTTGACTCTCCATCTGAGGGTTGACGTAATTTTCAAATCTTGAATCGGCCAGATGAACTAATTGCTTCCTGAAAAAACTCATGTCCCGTTCGCTTCTCCTTTATGTTTGTGTCTCTGACAGTGCCCTCGTCCGAGCCTTCCCCAGACTCCAGGACTGGCCCACGTTCCTCCCCAACTCCTCACTGTCCGACTCTGCTGCCAGCTCTGCTGGCGGGCCACAACAATGTGATTCAATCTGTGTATTTTCACGCTTTCTCCAAAGAGATGTCAATTGCTTTGAGCTGGTTTTTTGCACTGTGAGCCTAATTCCTGCTTTTTGCAAGCAAACTCCACCCCCCCCCCCCCCCCAGTCTCCTTGTTGATCTGACTTGTTCTAAAAACCCCAATTCTTAACGCTATTTTAGGTCAAGCTGGATTTTGTGGCTCCAACCACCGGGACGCACAACTACACGCTCTACTTCATGAGCGATGCCTACATGGGCTGCGACCAAGAATATAAGTTCAGCGTGGACGTAAAAGAGGCAGAGAGTGACACCGACTCCGACTGAGCGACAGGCTGAAGGTGATGGGCCTTCATCAAGCCATTGTGGACTTTCTTGGAGGAGATAATCACCATAGGTGGTTAGGAAGGTGTTTTGTAGATGTTCTCCGTCTTTGGATTCCCTGCATCGTCTAAGCCTCAGCGAGCAGCTGTAGAAACGAACTTCCACCTTTTTGTGTTCCTGCCCGCATCTTGAGGTTTTCCCTTCTTTTTTTTTTTTTAAACTCGGCAAAACAAACAGTAGCTTTTGTGTACAATGTTTGCCGTAAATGAGCTGAATTGATTGTTTAAGAGATCCTGCTAATTTTCCAAAATAAAACTTCCAGGAACTAACTCGGGTCCCTCTTTTTGGGAAGAACAGTCCCAAGTGAAGGGTAGTGGTTAGAGCCGTGGTGGTGCAGAAGCCAGTGTTGCACGCAGACTCTGCCCACTGCCAGGAGTTTGATCCCGATTGGCTCAAGGTTGACTCAGTCCTTCCGAGGTCGGTAAAATGAGGACCCAGATTGTTGCGGGCAATAGGCAGACTGTAAACTGCTTAGGTTAGGGATGCGGTAGCTCAGTGGCTAAAGACGCTGAGCTTGTCGATCGAAAGGTTGGCAGTTCAACGGTTCTAATCCCTAGTGCCGCCTAATGGGGTGAGCTCCCGTGACTTGTCCTAGCTTCTGCCAACCTAGCAGTTCGAAAGCAGGTAAAAAATGCAAGTAGAAAAACGGGGACAACCTTTGGTGGGAAGGTAACAGCGTTCCGTGCGTCTTTGGCGTTGAGTCATGCATCTATCCCTAATACATTTTGCCACTGTCCGGAGTTCAAAAGAGAGGAGGGGAAAGAGATGCTCTAAGAAGCAGCCAGCCAATTCCATACATTCTTCCTGACTGCAATCAGAAGGAGGGTGTTAGGTTTCACAGCCAGCCAAAGTGGTTAATTGGAGAATGTGATTTATGACATGGCCAGAGAGGAGGGGAGAGACAGGGTCATAGGGGAACGTAAATCTACGTGGGATCAGTCCTGACTGCATCCGAGTATTGCCGGAATGGTGCTCCTAATAAATGAATATATTTCCTTTGAAGTTTGGATCATGGCTCATGAATTAATTAGGGCATCTTTCGGAAACTTGACAGCATATTTTGAGTGACAGAGAGCCGCAGCAGAGGAGTGAAAGAGCCACATGCAGCTCCAGAGCCACAGATTGCTGACCCCTGGGTTTGCAGGAAATGCAACGTCCCAGCAATGCTTTGGGGGAAAAACAAAACAAAACAAATCAGATGATGGCAACTATATGTCTCAATGGATGAGAAAGAACATGGATGAGAAGGTGAAGGAAATGATGAAAAAGTTGGCCTGTATCAGGTCATTCATTAGTGAAAAATAATTTAATTGGAGATGATTGTTCTTAAAAATGGGAAGCAGATGGTTGAGAAAAACTAGGTGCCTATCCTAAATGGAAAGAGAAATCCTGAAGATGACATTCCTTGGCAAAAAAAACCCCCAAAAAACTTGTATTATCAGTCCTGACCTCTGAAATTCCATCCTTTTCCTCTTTCTCCAGCCCGTGTCTCTCTTCATTTTCCCCAAAATCTTTTCCCGGCATCCCTAGCCTACCTGAGCACCAGGTTGGGGAAGCTGTCGTTTAATAAAGGAGTCAAGATGAACAACAGCAAATTTTCCCTTTTTATTCATTTTATAGATGTTCAAATAACGGCTCCTTTCCCTTTCCTGGTTTTATATAAGCAGAAACCCAACATTTCAAGCCTATTATTTCACTTAACTGAAGCCGGCTTAGACGGTTCCTTTCGGGCGGGCCTACTTTGGAATTCCACCTTCAGCGCAGTCTTGCCTTGGCTGGATCCAGGCCAAAGAATCATCAGATTTCCCTCTTCATTAAATCCAGTGATTTCCTTTTTAGATAGTTAAGTTCTCACCTGGGGAACTGTAGGATGGAAACAACTACCGCAGAGTTCAGTCAATTTGTAGGAGGTTTCGTTGCTTTTTCTGGGGGATCTGTTGCTCACGAACCCCAAGATACCTGGAGATAACAAGGTAATTCAGCAAGTCTCTGGGCGCTGGTACTTCCAGAAGGCCATTTCTCCATCATCGCTGCACGAAGCCAGCATCCCCGGCTCCTTGGGGTTCCAGGCAACACAGTTCACATCCTGAGAATGGGCTTGGGCCATGTGGGCGGTCAAGGAGAAGGTGGGCTGATGAGGGTCGGAGAGAGGCTCTTCCTCAAACACCCGGATGGCGTCGTCTCCGCAGGCGGTGGCTAGGGCACCTGTCAGGTGACACCTGCCAAGAATTTGGGAAAAAGAAAAGGAATTCTGGATCAGGATTCAGGACATACGGGGGCATTTTAAAGAGAAGCTGACAATGAAAAAACCCTCCCTTTTTATGATCCTGTAATTCCTTAATTCAGGGTGGACTTGGGGCGACAATGGAACTGAGCGTTTGCTGGCCGGATGCCCTTCCTGATGCCTACGTGGAGTTCACAGCAAATGAGATTTTTTTTTTTTTTTTTTTTTGCGCCTTAGGAGAGAAACATCTGCCGCTACCCAGGATTGATCTCTCAACCTTCCAAGGGGAAGGTGAGCGTCTTCATCACTAGGCCATCATGCCACTCAAACAGGGGAGCTTGGAGGTCTTCTAATCCAAACCCCTGCAGGGGTAAATCCAAATTTACAAATGCAGCTATTCTTTTCTCTGCTCTGGCGGGGAAGGTTAAGGGGTAAAATTAGTGTCTTAAGCCAACTATAAAATAGTAGCTAAACCATCTTTATCCAAAGATGTTGCAAAGTGGCAGAGTTTAAATGGCTTTCGTTGTAGGAATCAGGAACAGTCGCAAAACCTTAAATGTTCTATAGTGGAAAACAGCCTTCATGAACCTACATTATACTGTAGAACAGGGATCAGCAACCTGCGGCTCTGGAGCCGCATGTGGCTCTTTCACCCCTCTGCTGTGGCTCCCTGTCACTCAAAATATGCATCACAACTGCCAATGTGCGACACCCGCCGGCACGTGATTTATTGAGCTTTTCAACTCCCGGTAGGCCAACCATGGATAAATCCAAGAAAAGAAAAGTTTCAGAAGAAAACAGAACGTTTAATTCAACTACATATGCTAGTTTTGTGGACGCTCAAGAAATAGTCAGGCACGGGAAGGGTTTTGTGGCTCCCGGTGTTTTCTTTTCTGTGGGAAACGGCTCCAAATGGCTCTTTGAGTGTTTACGGTTGCTGTAGAGGAGCACTTAAAGAGTTGTGCTACTCCTTCATCCACAATGGTGCGCGACCTGCAAAAACACCCCCACCAGAACCCATCCTTGACACAGAACTCGGCTTGTTCCTGGGACCCTGTGGGAAGCATCTCCACTTACCATGCCACGTCGTAGACGGTCCGCGTATGGAAACCAGACAGGGTGCAAACGCACTTCCAAACGGGATCAGTACCGCTACGGGCCACGCCTGAAACACACAAGAGAGCTCCTTAAGCCGCTGCCTCTTGGATCTGCCTCAGGGGCTTCAGGCCTCGGGGAGAAAAGGGGAGATTTCAGTTACGGAGCCTTGGGAGTTGAGGAATAGCTGCTAGGAACGGAAAATATGAGTGGGTAGGAGGGGGATTTGGTGGCCCTTAAGTGATCTAGTACTAGGTTTTATGGTAACCAGGATTTTGCCTTTGGCTCAGAACCTTATTCACATGCAGTCTTACTAGAAATAATCCTCAACTTAATGACCATAATTGAGCCCAAAATTTCTATTGCTAAGTGGGACAGTGTTGTTGAGTGAATTTTGCTCCATTTTACAACCTTTCTTGCCACAATTAAGTGAATCACTGCAGTTGTTGAAGTTAGTGGCACCTGCGTACCATGCTGGAGGTGGTTGATGGACTAATATAGAAGAACAGAATAAGTTTGCTGTCACTTTGGTATACATAAAAGTGAAATTTCCTTACATACAGCTCTCAAGAGGGTCACCACTTCCAATATGCACTACATAACCATGACCGAATAAATAATGCATATACCCACATATATGACACGGAGAAACAACACAGTCCAGTTCGGATGTATATACCGTATTTTTCGGAGTATAAGACGCACCTTTTTCCCCCAAAAAAAGAGGGTAAAAATCTGGGTGCGTCTTATACTCTGAATGCAGCCCCGTCCGGCTTCTCAAACGGAGGTTTCAGAGGCTGAAAAAAAGCATCAGAAATGAAGCTTCAGGGGAAAAAAAGCCTCCAAACAGAGCTTCAGAAAAAAAGCCTCCAAACAGAGATTCAGAGGCTTTTTTCTGAAGCTCTGTTTCAGAGGCAGGAAAAAAAGTTTTTTCTGAAATGGGAGTTTCAGAAGTTTCAGAGGCATCAAAAAAAAAAGCAAGGCACAGAGCTCACAACCAAGGAACCTGTTGCTAAAATTCACCTCTGGGAACAGCTGATTGGGGCTATTCCGGGAGGCCAATCCACCTGCCAATTAGCTTTCTTCTTATTTTCCTCCCCAAAAACTAAGATGCGTCTTATACACCGAAAAATACGGTATGTACATGGCGAGAAAAACAAATCTTGTGAGATTACCAGAGGGATGGCCTAGGGAACAAAGCTACTACAGAATTGGAGAGTCCTGCTAGAAATACTTCGAAACCCCCTCCCAGAGGGGAGCAACTGAAACAGACTGTAAAGTGGGTGTGTGGGATCTCTAACGATGTTTTGAGCTCTAAGCACAGAGTGCTTACGAGCAGCATCCTGAATAACAGGCAGCGAGCTTCCTATAATCTTCTCCACTGTCCTCACCACTCTCTGTAGGGACTTTCGACCTCACCTCCCCACGGTGCATCATGCTCCCTTCCCTCCCATCTTTTCATCATAATTTTGTATTTTTATTGTAATGTTGTAAGCTGCCCAGGGACACCTTGTGGCAAAGATGGATGGCAAATAAATTTAATAAATAAACAGTTCTATCCACCGTGCTGTACCACCCACCTTGCTCATTGCCTGGCTTAAACTGGTGCCAAATGCGCACCGTCTTGTCATCACTACAGGAAGCCAGCCTTTCTCCAGTCTGGTCAAAAGCCAAGCTCCACACCGTGGACTCGTGTCCTTCCAAGGTGCTGAAGCACACCCAGTCGTCTTCCTCTTCCCGATACAGTTTGACGGTGTCATCGTAACTGGCAGATGCCAGCAGCTGGGAGGAGAGAAAAAAAAAAAACCAAATCGGCATCGGCAGAACCACCAAAGGAATTGCAAGCCCACTCGGCCACATGAAAGATGCCCATCTCGGCATTTGTTTCACAAAAACAATCTTCTAGCTCAGGGCTGTCAAACTTGCAGCCCGAGGGCCAGATGTCACGCGCTGGCCACGTGCCATGCCCACGCCCGGTTTAGCAAAGGGAAAAGAAGTCCCGATATGTGTTTTGACACCCTGCTCTAGCTGTTGCAGCAATGCAGAAAAGGAGGGCTCCCTACCTTACCTTAAGGAAGAAAGCTGGACTCACCTCTTGGTTAGGATGCCAGACAACATGCTTGACATCCTGTGTGTGAGAATTCAAGACGCTCATGCACTCGTACTCGTCCTCTTCGTCCACTGTAACGGAGAGAATTTGATAAAAACTGAATAATAAAAACCCCCATATGTCAATTGCAAAAGGCAGCTTTAATCAGAATAGCTTACATCCAGGGATGATACTTTAACACTATTAAACATCCACGCTTGCCTGCTCCAGGACTCGATAGGTGGGCAAATATGCCAAGTTCACTCTGAACATCTGGCTGACTACGTGGCAAACCATAACAATATCACTGGCACTGATAAAATCCCCAATTGGTCAATTGCGAAAGGCAGCTTTAGTCAGAACAGCTTACATCTTGCCCCAGTATCTCCCAACACCATCAAGCATCCACATCTGCTTATCCCAGATCCTTGGGAAGGACTTGACAGGCAGACAAAAACGCCAAATCTGGTCTGAAAATATTGGCTGACGGTGCAACCAACCGTAAAAGTAATTCGGTAGAGAATGTAAATCAAGTGAAAAGACAGAAACACATCCTCCCTCTCCTATCCACTCCATGGATTTACAATAAAAACAAACAGACTCAACTTATTGAGAAGTTCCATTTTTCCATATTATAGAAAGACAGAACCGTAGGTCACCTTCCCCTTGCTTTTTGGCAGCTTCCCTAATTTTATTATTATTATTATTTTTAAATTTGATTTATATGCCGCCCTTCTCCGAAGACTCAGGGAGGCTTACAAGGCGTTAAGCAATAGCCTTCATACTTTTGTATATTTATACAAAGTCAGCTTATTGCCCCCACAACTGGGTCCTCAATTTACCTACCTTAGAAAGGATGGAAGGCTGAGTCAACCTTGAGCCTGGCGAGATTTGAACCTGCAGTAATTGCAGGCAGCTGGTCTTAATAACAGGGTGCTTTAGACCACTGTACTACCAAGGCTCTTCCCTTTTAAAGAGGTCTTAATTTATATGAAAGCTGGGACATGATCAGTGAAGTAAAAACAAGGAGAGAGAAAGCTCGAACAGCATCCTTCAAAATGAAAAAAGTCTTCTGCAGTCACGACAAGCCTAAAACTGAACATGAGGCTTGTCAGATGTTAAACATCTTTTCTATCCTGCTCTACAGAGTGGAGAGTTGGTCTCTGACAGAAAACCACTTGAAGAGACTGGAAGCATTTGAAATGTGGATTTACAGGCTGCTGTTAAATTTATAAGACGGGTTGACAAAATCAGAAATGAGGAGGTGACAAGCCACCTGGGAAAGCCAAGGGAAATAATCAAAGCCATCAAAAAGAGAAAGTTAGAATATTTTGGACCTGTGATGCGACACCCAGAAAAATACGGCATCCTTCACTTAATCCTCCAGGGAAATACTGAAGGCAAATGAGGTCCAGGCAGAAGAACATCGTGGCTTCAAAACCTAAGGGACTCGTTTGGACAAAACTCAGCAGCACTTTTTCATACGGCTGTTGACAAAAATAGGATCGCCAACATGATCGCCAACGTCCAACGACGGATATGGAACAAGAAGAGAAAGGTTTTAAAATCTGTCAGCCCGATTTACACAAATGCCCTTTAATATTCTTAGACAGCAGTCCTGCCCCTTCTGTACGCCCAGATAGCAAAATCAGAAGCTGCATAGGGGCTGTGATGACAGAAGTTCATTCATTCACTTTTGGGGTCAAATGGGAGTAGGGTTGTGATTAGCCGTGCTTATATCCTGGCTGCCATTTTGTGAGAGCACCGTAACAGGTTCTGAAAATTCCAATGCCACCGCTCCTCCTGCCAACCCACCATCGCCAAACGATTGTCTGCCTCCCACGATTCTCCACGCTCTCGCTCACCTTCCCAAACCCAGACGCTTTTGTCTCGGCTGCAGGTAGCCAGGAGGCTGCCGGATGGGGCCCAGGCTACAGACTTCACCTCATTCTCGTGGCCCTCCAGAGTCGCTGCACACTGGGTGGAGAAAGAGAGGAGATGTTTCTAATGGGAAGAAGGGCAACCGGCAATCTGAGACCACAAAGAGAAATGTTCGATGGCAGGGCAAGTGGAGGAGATGAGCAGGAGGGGCCCCGAGGGCGGAGTCAAACGCACCATCAATTTGGAATCGCCACGCTCCCACAAGTGGGAGTACTAGGGTTTAAGGCACCCTGTTATTAAGCTGCTTAAGACCAGCTGCCTGCAATTACTGCAGGGTTCAAATCTCGCCAAGGCTCAAGGTTGACTCAGCCTTCCATCCTTTCTAAGGTAGGTGAAATGAGGACCCAGTTTGTGGGGGCAATAAGCTGACTTTGTATAAATATACAAAAGGATGAAGGCTATTGCTGAGCACATTGTAAGCCGCCCTGAGTCTTCGGAGAAGGGCGGCATATAAATCAAATTAAAAAAAAAAAAAAAAAAAAAAGTGGCCTAACTCCAGCCCCCTGTGAATTCCGCTGACTCATATTAGAATAGAATAACAGAGTTGGAAGGGACCTTGGAGGTCTTCTAGTCCAACCCCCTGCTTAGGCAGGAAACCCGACACCATTTCACACAAATGGCTATCCAATATCTTCGTAAAAACTTCCAGTGTTGGAGCATTCACAACCTCTGAAGGCAAGTTGTTCTACTGATTAATTGTCCTCACTGTTAGGAAATTTCTCCTTAGTTCTAAGTTGCTTCTCTCCTTGATTAGTTTCCACCCATTGCTTCTTGTCCTGCCCTCAGGTGCTTTGGAGAAAGCTTGACCCCCTCATTGTGGCAGCCTCTCAAACACTGGAAGACTGCTATCGTGTCACCCCTAGTCCTTCTTTTCATTAAACTAGACATACCCAGTTCCTACAACCTTCCTTTATATTTTAGCCTCTGGGCCCCTAATCCTCTTGGTTGCTCTTCTCTGCACTCTTTCCAAAGTCCCAACATCTTTTTTACATCGTGGCAACTGAAACTGGATGCCGTGTTCCAAGTGTGGCCTTACTAAGGCATTAACACTTCACGTGATCTTGATTCTATCCCTCCGTTTATGCAGCCCAGATATGGCATCCAAATTGGTGCCATATCTGGCACCAATTTGCCTTGACCATTAGTATAGATAGACCTCATGACCACAACTGAGCTCAAAATTTCTGATGCTAAATGAATTTTGCCCCCTTTAACTGCTTTTTCTTCGATCACTGCAGTGGTTAAATGATGTGAATCTGGCTTCACATCATTTAAGGTCACAAAAGACTTAGAAAATTTGTCTCCAAGTATAATGTTTACAGTGACTTGATATTTTTTTTCCCTACATTTGAGATCCTCACTGTTCCATCTTTTTAACTGTATTCCAATTTTGCACCCACGTAGTCACACAAGATTTGAATTACTCAGTTCCAAATTGTGTACTATAAATTGCGCCCAGTAAATATTTGTTATTATGAATTGTAAAATTTTCAAATACAGTCATGTTTTGTGTACATTCCCCCTTTATTTTCACAATTTTCTTGCTGTGCATGGTGCTCGTTTGAGAACATTGGAACCAACTAAAGGAAGGGGAAAAAACAACAACACGTCTTTGAATATTGTAACAATATTGGAAAGGGAAAAAAAACAAATTAAAATTGAGATAGAAATAAGAGGGGGATAATAATAAACATATAGATATATTGACACAAAGGTATATAAAAGAACAAATAGGATGGTTTAGAATTGAAGGGTAATAGTAAAATATATGAGTATGTGAAACTATGAAAATGAAATGTAATAACTAGGAGTAATAACATTGTTTGTTGTACTGAAATGTATGATACCCAGAGATCACACTATTCACGCATTGATATGTATAAGCAATATAAAATAAAAAACTTGAAATGGAGAACATTGAAACCAAATGATTCTGCAAGAGCACCGCGTAACGAAGGATTCAAGATGCCTTAATTCTTTCCCCCGGTTAATCATCAAATCTTGCAATTTAAACATATTATTTTTCCACTGAGCAAATCTGAATTCGAAGCCACAAAGGATGCTGCTGTACCTCGAAATTGTCCTGGTTCTTCTTCCAAATGCAGGTGGTTGCATCAAAGCTGGCTGAAGCCAAGTAGTTCCCACAAGGGGACCAGGCCACTTTACGGATGGTCCTTTGATGTCCTTCATCCAGAATGGACTTGCACACCCAGGCATCACCTGACGAGAGAGGAACCACCTGGCAATGTAGGTTGGCAACATCCTTGCCTGATCTTGCACCCCAAGACTAACCGTATTAATCAAGTATCTACGGTAGCTTCCCTTTTGTTTGTTCATTAGGGGATTCCTGAGATCTGGATTCAAATAGGAAAAGGTGATTCAAAACATGGGTGGGCCCACAGGTTGCTCCTCCTCTTATCCTTACTCCTCAAATCAAACATGCTGCTGTTCGAGGTAAGGAAGAGAGAGCTTCTTTTAAGGAGTTGGTGACAATATCAGCGTGTGCCTTCACATGATCCAAATCCCTTTTTCTTGTTCAAATCTGAACAACCATCCTGTCAGACCTGGAAGCCATCTTTTACATTTGCCACCTTTTCTGTTGTGGGAAAATGGGAGGGGGGGATTGCATAGAATATGGGTGATATGTAGTCAAAATAACATTCCTTTCTCAGAGAGTCAAGGACGTCTTGCCCTGGCACCTGGAGTCAGATGACTGGGAGGTATCTCCAATTTGGACGGTGGATGATTGGACCATGTGATGGACATGTGGGTGCTGGGCAGGGAGTTGAACTTTCACTTGGGTGGGGAAAACCTGGAAACTTTCAGATTCGGGTTTTCCCAGATGTGCCAATATGACATATAAAACGGAACTTTGAGGAAACTCAAGCATCAGAGTCTTCTTTCGTTGGCGGTGTTACTTGGAACCCTGACACACGCACTCTCTGCATTCTCCCTTCCTGGAAATGTCAACACGAAGCTGACCACCTGAGCCTACCTTCTTTCCCCCAGATGCGGATGCTACGGTCTCCACCACAGGAAGCCAGCAGTGTCCCTTTAGGATTCCAGGCGAGGAACCAGCAACGGGAATCCGGGTGTGCCTGGATGCGGGACAAGAGGGTCAAGGAGTCCTTCATTGGAGCACCAAGTGGTCACGACAGAACCGAACCTAAAAACCCTGCAAATAAAAATAAGTTTTATTTCAGCAGAAGAGCTTCATTTAAATGGTCAACATGGTTTTTTTTTTTTTGTATTCCTGATTTTAACAAAAGTTTCCATGCTGTAATTCAAGAATCCCACAGGATGGAATATGAAAATATCTGTGTGGTAGGAGACTTTAACGCAATTGTAGACACAGAACTAGACTAGAAGAGTAGTAAAACAGGTAAAAAAGCCAGGAAAACGCTCCCTAAAACTTTTTTTCAAAATGATGGAAGAAATAGGAACTCAAGATGTATGGAGAGTAACGCACCCTAAGGAAAATCAGTATTCATTCTATTCAAATGGGCATAAATCCTGGTCTAAAATAGATATGGTATGGATGTCATTAGAACCGAAAACATGTGTACAAGAGATAGAAATACAACCCAAGGTTTGGGCAGACCACAATCCGATAAAAGTTGTAAGGAAAGAATCCCACAAGCCAAAATTGGACCGATAGGAAGATTACTGATGCCTTTGAACGGTGGTCTTGGGAGTCAATGCCTGAGAATGCTGTGGACAAAGGAGAAAAAAAAGCCAATGGACTGTCAAACAAATCATTTTCACCACCGGCACAAATGATCACGGTTCAAATTATACAACTTTGGACTATGTAAAGACGCAGCCTTCTGGAGAAGGCTCTTAATGCTGGGAAAGGGGGAATGAAACAAAAAAGAGGCTGAGAAGCCATCCAAAATTGTTGAGAGTTGGGCAGCATAAAAATGTAATGAACCACAGGGAATCTTTGACTTATAACCATTTATTTGTTTGACTCTTTCAAGTTTCTCCCACACTCTGGAATGAGTTACCTACCGAGCTCCGTATGGCTCCTGATCTCCGCTCCTTCCGTCGTGACCTGAAGACTTGGCTGTTCAAACAAATGGGCTGACTATGACTCTGGGTTTTAATATTTTATTATTTATTGCTTATTTGGTTTTACGGGGATTTTATTGTTGCATGCTTTTTAACTTGTGTTCGCCGCCCTGAGTCCTCCAGGAGAAAGGCGGCATATAAATACATTAATTAATTAATTAATTAATTAAGTTAGCATAGCACCGAAAAAAAGTGGCTTATGACCATTTTGCACATGATACGAACATTGCGACATCCGCATGGTCACCGGGTCAAAAATTCAGAGGCTTGGAAACTGGCTCCTATTTATGACCGTCGCAGTGATCCCCTTTGGCAACCTCCTGGCAAGCCAACCGCTCAACGGCCGGGTTCCTAACTTCACAGCCGCAGGGATTCACTTAACAACGGTGGCAAGAGAGGTCGTAAAAATGGGGGCAAAACTCACTTAACGACCGTCTCACTTAGCAACAGAGGTGTTGGGCTCCCTTGTGGTCGTAAGTCGAGGACTCCTTGCAATTTCCCATCCGAGGACTTAACGGTATTAGATAGTCCTCGATTTGCAACAGTCCCGTTTTGGTGACCGTTCGAGGTTTAACAACCGTCTCGCTTAGCAACGGATATGCTGGCTCCCCTGTGGTCGTAAGTCGAGGACTACCTGGCCTTGTTCTCTCTCGGGGGGGAAAAGAAACAGCCCCGCTTCTCGCTCCCGCGGGACTGAAGGCCTCAGCACTCACCTGAGATTCAGCCCAAGGCGGCCCCTGGCTGGGAAGGATGGGCTGTGTAGTACGCCGCTGCAGGGGCCTCCTGCCCTTCCTTGTTTATCAGCGCGGAAGCCCCTTTGAACGGGCAGCACCGGAAGTCTCCTCCAGCGCAAAGGCTGCTGGGATTCGTAGTCTTTCTCCCCTTCCGCCCCCCCCCCTTTCGTTTCCTTTAAGCCCCCCCCGAGGTAGCCCCGGCCCCCCAGGCCGGGGGGGGGGGGGGGATTTCCCCCGGCCCCCCCCCCCCCCCAAGGCGACACGGGAGGGGGGGAGGGCGCGGAGAACCAAGGCCTTCCCGTTTCATGAGTTGTTTCTCGACCCATTTTCGGCCCGCTGTGTGTTTTGTGTGCGTTTCTATGCGGTAGGCCAAGACAGTAATGGCGGTTGGGTTTTCTGAGGCGGCCGCCGTGACGACGCCGTGACGTCACGCGGGCAGCGACCTAAACGCCGCGACGTCCCCTCGGGGAGGGGGGGAAAAAACCCGACGCGGCGCCGTGACGTCACGCGAGATGCGACATAATCGCCGTGACGTCTCGCAGGGAAGTGACGTAAACTCCGTGACGTCTCGCAGGGAAAGCGACGCGGCGCCGTGACGTCGCCTCGAGGGGGCGGAAGCGGAAGCGCGGCGGCGGCGGCGGCCGGGAAGCTGAGGGAGCGGCGGCGGTTTTTTGTCAGCGCTCGGCGGCCCCCTCAGCTCGGTCGCGAGGGCAGCCCCCACACGGAGGCCCGCCGCGGCTCAGGCCTCGGGAGCGGCAGCGGCAGCGGTAAGGAGGAAGGAAGGAAGGAAGGGCCCGCTGGGGGGGGTGATTGGGTTGTGGGGAGGGGGGCCCGGAGCGAATCGGTGATTGACGGGACGACGTCCCGCCCCTGGAATGGGGGAGGGGAAGGGAGGGTTTCCTGGTTATGGGAGGGGGGAGGGGGGGTTCTGGGGATTCGCCCACCCGGATTTTGGGGTTGGGCGCGTTGGGGGATCCTGGAGAAGAGAAATTGGGGCGCTGATGTTGGTGGAGACCCTCCAGGATGATGATGATGGGGGGAGGGGGGGGAGGAGTGAAATGGAGGGGGGGCTGTTTAGAGCAGGGCTCTCCAACCTTGGCCGCTTTAAGCCTGGAGGATTTTTAGGATAGTTCACAATATCTGTCTGTCTGTCTGTGAGTCTATCTAGCTTTCTATATCATCTATGTATCCATCCATCCATCCATCCATCCATCCATCCATCCATCCATCCATCTATCTATCTATGTATCCATCTATCTATCTATCTGTCTATCTATCTATCTATCATCTATCATCTATGTATCTATTTATCTATCTATATCTATCTATCATCTATCTATCTATCATATCTATCATTTATCTATCTATCTATCTATCTCATATCTATTATCTGTCTCTCTGTTTATCTATCTATCTATCTATCTATCATCTATCTATCTATCATCTATCTATCTATTTATCTATCTATATCTATCTATCATCTATCTATCTATCATCTATCTATCATTTATCTATCTATCTATCTATCTCATATCTATTATCATGTCTCTCTGTTTATCTATCTATCTATCTATCTATCCATCTATCTATCTATCATCTATCTATCTATTTATCTATCTATATCTATCTATATCTATCTATCTATCATCTATCTATCATTTATCTATCTATCTATCTATCTCATATCTATTATCTGTCTCTCTGTTTATCTATCTATCTATCTATCTATCATCTATCTATCTATCATCTATCTATCTATCATCTATGTATCCATCCATATCTATCTATCTATCTATCTATCTATCTATCTATCTATCTATCTATCTATCTATCTCATATCTATTATCTGTCTCTCTGTTTATCTATCTATCTATCTATCTATCTATCTATCTATCTATCATCTATGTATCCATCCATATCTATCTATCCATCTATCTATCTATCTATCTATCATCTATCTATCTATCTATCTATCTATCTATCTATCTATCTATCTATCTATCTCATATCTATTATCTGTCTGTCTGTCTCTCTGTTTATCTATCTATCTATCATCTATCTATCTATCATCTATCTATCATCTATCTGTCTCTCTCTCTCTCTCTCTAATATCTATCTATCTAATATCTATCTATCTCATATCTATCTATCTATCATCTATCTATCAATCCATATCTATTATCTGTCTGTCTGTCTGTCTGTCTGTTTATCTATCTATCTATCTATCTATCTATCTATCTATCAATCCATATCTATTATCTGTCTGTCTGTCTCTCTGTTTATCTATCTATCTATCATCTATCTATCTATCATCTATCTATCATCTATCTGTCTCTCTCTCTCTCTCTCTAATATCTATCTATCTAATATCTATCTATCTCATATCTATCTATCATCTATCTATCAATCCATATCTATTATCTGTCTGTCTGTCTGTCTGTTTATCTATCTATCTATCTATCTATCTATCTATCTATCTATCTATCTATGTATTTATCATCTATGTATCTATCCATATCTATCTATCTATCTATCTCTCTCTCCCTCTAGTTTATCTCAATCTATTCATCCTATGACTTATCACTAAACTCTATGTTTGTCTCTGCGTCCATCCATCCATCTAATCTAATCTAATCTAATCTATACATACTTGTGTATGTATACGGACACACACCCATACACACCCATCACAAAAGTTGCTAGTCGGCTAATTTGAGATGCCTCCCTGGTCACCCTTTGACTCTGACATATGACTTACTAAAACAAGTAAAACAGATAATAGTAAACAGGACCAGTTCAAATGAAATCTAACCACTCGGGGAAGAAAATACCAGGAACCAAATTTTAAAAAACAGAATAAAAGAAAGAAAAAAAAAGAACCCTTGCTATCACTGCAGGGTCATAAACGCCCATCCTTTATGTTATTGGAGGCAGTAAAAGTCGCCTGTAACTCAAGAGTCACTTCTCTGCTTTGGTCAACACTTGGATTGCACCCTAGGGCAGCCAGAGAAAATGGGAGACAGAAAAAAATTACATGGTCAGAGAATGCTGGAAAAAAGGAAATTTGAGTGTGGGAAAGACAGAGATTCTTTTCTGGTCCTCTCAAAGGCTTCACTATAGAGTTATGCAGTTTGGATTTAGAATAGAATAGATTAACAGAGTCGGAAGGGACCTTGGAGGTCTTCTAGTCCAACCCCCTGCTTAGGCAGGAAACCCTAAACCACTTCAGACAAATGGTTGTCCAATCTCTTCTTAAAAACTTCCAGTGTTGGAGCATCCACAACTTCTGGAGGCAAGCAGTTCCACTGATTAATTGTTCTCACAGGGAATTTCTCCTTAGTTCTAAGTTGCGCTGGAAAAAGTGACTTACGGCCATTTTTCACATTTATGACTGTTTCCAGCATTCCCATGGTCATGTGATTTACATTGGATGCTTGACAGCCAGTTCATATGTATGACCGTTGTAGTGTCCCCATGGTGACATGATCAGAATTCGGATGCTAGGCAACTGACTCCTACTTATGACGATCACAGTGTCCCGGGGTCATGTGATCATCCCCTTTTGCGCTCTTCTGACAAGCAAATTCAGCGGGGAAGCCAGCTTCACTTAATCGTGTTACCTAACTAAACAACTGTTGTGATTCACTCAACAACGTCGAGAAAGGTCATACATGGGGCAGAATTCACTTAAGAGCGGTCTTGCTTAGCAGCGGAACTGTCGGGCTCAATTGTGGTCATAAATGGAGGACTACCCATGCTACAGTTTGGATTCCTGTCCCGATCATGGATTGAATTCAATAACGTACCGTATTTTTCAGACTATAAGACGCACTTTTTTTGTCTCCCAAAAGGGGGTGAAAATGTCTCTGTGTGTGTCTTATAGACTGAATAGAATAGACTTTTCAAAGGAAAGAGTGTGTGAATATACAGTGGCCTTGAGAGTAAGCTCCCATCCTGTTTATATTCCTCAGACTGGCAGTTAGTGCTATTCACTGATTCTCTTGAGTATTACACATATTGCTGTCAGTAATGGTGGAGACATGTGTGGTCTTTGTCGAGTTGTTTTTATATGTTAGTGGCCTCGAAACGAAAGACAAAGGGATGTTTTATGAAAATATGAACCGCGTCAGTTCCCCCATTGCTTTAAAGACAATATCCTTCTAGTTGACTATTGGGCTTAATCCCTTCCTTTGGTCTGAGAATTATTGTAATCCTTTATAGTTTTTCCCAACCCAGATTCCAAGCATCTTCACATGCCTTTAAGGGAGGGATCCAATATTGCTGGGGTTTTTTTTCCCCTTCTGCTTGACCATGGCAAATGTCGACAACGTTTTCCAGCCCAACAATTAAACTCTGGTAGCTAGAAAGGAAGGGATGCGGTGGCTCAGTGGCTAAGACGCTGAGCTTGTCGATCAAAAGGTCGGCACTTCAATGGTTCGAATCTCTAGCACTGCGTAACGGGGTGAGTCCCGTTCCTTGTCCCAGCTTCTGCCAACCTAGCAGTTCGAAAGCATGTAAAAAAATGCAAGTAGAAAAATAGGGACCACCTTTGGTGGGAAGGGAACAGCGTTCCGTGCGCCTTTGGCGTTGAGTCATGCCGGCCAAATGACCACAGAGACGTCTTCGGACAGTGCTGGCTCTTCGGCTTTGAAACGGAGATGAGCACCGCCCCCTAGAGTCAGGAACGACTAGCACATACGTGCGAGGGGAACCTTTACCTTTATCTAGAAAGGAACTTTCATGCCTCCATAACGCGGTCAATTAAAAACAATAGTTTCTTGTCCCGTCTTTGTATCTGCATGTCATCATCAATTGTCTCTTTTCGCTTCCTCAACAGAGTCCAGAGAGTCCACCCTTCTTCCTCTGATGTTTTGTCCTGCCCGTAGGCCTTTTGTTGACCTGCTGCCTCCTGGCTACGTCTCCAGCGGCACTGGCAGTGCCTACCTCTGAAGATCCCAAGGGTCTCAGCCTTCGTTCGTTGTTGCCTTGGATTTATTTGGCTGAACATCCCAAGGGAGATCCATGTATACCCCAAGTGGTTCAGTGTTGCCCGGTGGCCGAAGGCGAAGAGGGCAAGATGGGAGTGCCTTGCCCAAGCAACCCGAAAGGAGCTTGGCATCTGCCTTGCCTGGGGCCCTCTCCATAACTGCCCTGTGTACTGCCTTGGCAGAGCCCGCCTGGCTACGGATACACGGGGGCACTTGTTCTCGCCAGGAGCTGGGGGTTGCTGATGTGCTGGGATACATTGATCCGGATCTGCTTAAAGGTGAGAAGCAAACAGGTGATCTTAAAGATAACTATAGATTGACCTAGTGCAGGAGCGGTATTCACTTACCTTCACTACCGGTTCGCAAATGTGAGCGCGCGATTGGCTAAACTATTGGTTGTAGATCGAGAACTATAACAGAGCTTGTGATATACAGAATTGTGGTTCCCCGCCATCTTGTTGTGGCCGGTCAGCGGTCTGTGCAGCTAGTAGCTGATTCCGACAGCGAGGAGGCTGGTGTGGTGCTGCGCCAGCAGCCTGTGCAGCTGGCACTTGAGTCAGACAATGAGGAGGCTGGAGAAGATGTGATGCCAGAGGCAGGGATTCAGCCAGGGCCTTCAGAACCTCCAGAAGCTCCCTTAAGTGAAGAGGAAGAAGAGGAAGAGCCTCTTCTCGATGCACGGGCGCGCAGAGCTGCCAAAAGTCAGGAGTGGCTCCTCAGGAGGAGGTCTCCTGGAGAGTAAGGCTTGGGGCTAATTGGCCACTCCCTTAGCCTATTTAAGGAGGAACACCGACTGAAGCAATTTGCAGGGAACAACTTCGTTCACATATCTTCGTGTCTTGTCTTGCTTATCTTATCAGCTTCCTGCAAATTGCTTCTGGGCATTCTGCCAACCACAGTAAGCTTTCAGTTGTTATTCTTTGAATTCTTGGCGGCTGTTAATGCAGTTAATTAACAGCCGTTGTTGTAAAAACTTGGTTTATTTAGTAAACTAAGGTTTGAACGGACTCATGTCTTGACTCTATCAAACTGCAAATTTATTATTCATGCTTACCCCGAGATTCAACCTCTGGAAGAGCCTACTTTCCAGTAAGTAGGGTTGTAGCCAAGGTGAGTCACCTGGGGAAGATCAGGCGTCCGGTTCAAGTCTTGGGACGTGTATCCCCTCCTCTTTTCGTAAGGTGATATTTAGAATGCCAACAAATCATAACTGGCAGGTGTGCCATTATTGCACAGGGAACAAAGTGCACAACTGTTGTTCTAGTTCAAGAACTTAGCGCTTCCACCCTCCTCCCCCACACCCCTTCTGCCCTGTTGTTTTTGTTTTCTTAATTCAGCTGACATCCTGTTGCTGGCATCCTGTAAAGCCAGGGGTCTCCAGATGTGTGTGGACTTCGGCTCCCAGAATTCCTCAATTCTGGGAGTCGAAGCCCAAAAGTTGTAAAATTGCCAAGGCTGGAGACCCCCCCTAGTATAAAGCACAATTTAACTTGTTAAATATGATGCAAAATATAAATTGTGAGTGTGGGTGGACACCACCAATAAACAAATAGTCAAAATAAACTTGAGCTCTGGCTTAAATGCTTAATTTTCAGCTGTACCCCTGGCTGATTATCTGTGGGTTTTTTAGCAGTCTGCCTTAAAGTCCTGCCCTTGAACGCTTCTGCAAAATATTTCAGGTCTTCCTGTTCTACCAAGACATGAACAAATCATTCGGGGCCTTTTTTGGTTTCTGTTCCTGAAAATCTCAGACGCCTTGCATAAAGGTCACTTTTTTCCCCTCTGGAAAAAAAAAAAGAAGAAGAAGAAACAATGATTCCCATGAATTCTCTGGTTTTACCCTGTAGCTCCCGAGATGCAAACAGGAAGGAAAATGACCTTGATAGAAATAAATAAGAACGATTATCTAGGCAAGTATTCTAAATGTTCTCAGTGTTAATAAAACAAAGGAGATCATTGTAGAGTTTAGAAAGAGACGGCATAGTCATACTCCACTCAGTATCAAGGATGCAGGTATAGGGGTGATTAACATATTAAGTATCTGGAGGTGCCGATCACTAACAATCCGAACTGGTCTCTCCACACGTCATCCTTAGTGAAGCGTGCAAACCAGCATCTGCATTTCTTGCGTCGGATGAAGAGAGCACATCTTTCTCCTCCTGTCCTGGTCACTTTCTACAAAGGCACGATGGAGAGTGTTGTAAAAAAAGGCATCCCTATTTGCTTTGGTGGCAACAGTGCCTCAGATAGAAAGTCCCTACAGAGAGTGGTGAGGACAGCGGAGAAGATTATAGGAAGCTCGCTTCCCGTGATTCAGGATGCTGCTTCTAAGCGCTGTGTGCTTAGAGCTCAAAGCATTGTTAGAGACCCCACACACCCACTCCACGGTCTGTTTCTGTCGTTCCCCTCTGGGAGGAGGGTTCAAACTATTAATAGTAGGACTACTACAGCTTTGTTCCCTACGCCATCCGTCTGGTGAATTCGCAAGATTCGTTTTTCTCACCATGTACACGTATACATCCGAACTAGACTGTGTTGTTTTCTCTGTGTCACACAATATATGTGGGTATTTGCATAATTTTGTTTCTATTTATTTATTTATTTTGTCATGCTCATTTAGTGTATATCACAGGTGGTCCTTTGAGAGCTGTATGCAACGAAGTTTCATTTAAATGTACGCCGATTACTATACATTTAAAGTAACAACAAAGTTATTCTAAGGTCTAAGAACATTTTTTTAAGGGAGATAACAAAACCTTTGAAAGCCACTGTTTAATTTAACTAACTGCATTAATTTTATTTTAATTTCCTTGTCGTGAGACATTGAGAGTCAGGTGGCACTAAGTTTCACACATTATTGTTAGTCTTACTGTTGTCGTTATGCTACACTGACTCATGACTGAGCATAAGAAGGGTGAGAAGGTAAATACACAATCAGACGTGCAAGATTCTGTTATAATTTGAAATTGGTTTTAATTGGGTTGTTTTAAATCGTGGGCCGAAATTATTTAATTACCTTTTAAATTGTTTTTTTTTAAATTTTGTATGCTCTGTTTTATCTTGGCTGTTCACCGCCCTGCTGGAGAAGGGCGGTATACAAATCAAAGAAAATAAATAAAATAAATAATCAGTTTCAGTAAAGATAGTTTAAGCCTTCTGGTGAAGTTGATTTCTTGGTCTGCTCCACCTACGCTATCCTGAACCCAAGTGAAGACTAGAGAAATCAACCAGGAATTTCAAATTCTCACTGCTTGTTTCACTCTCCTCCATCCTCACTTGTTTTTCCGCAATCTCCATTTTAAAAGTGGATTATTTTGGTCACAAGCCCGGGTTCGTTTGTTCCTTTTGTGTACATCGCGCCCTGCCAAAAATCTCACATTCAGTTCAGTTTTTTTCCTACTGAAATGGAGGTTGAATCATTGCCAGCTAATGCAATTCGTCTTGTCTTGTGTATACAGTAGTGGCCAAAATAGTGGAAACCTTTTGGGAAAAGTCTATTTTCTAAAAAAAAATAGCTAATAACACCACTTATTTTGGAGCGGTACCATAAAATTATATATCAATGGAAAGATAATTTAATCAAGAATGTAATGCAATAACTTTTAGGAAGGATTTGCTATTAGAATAGCAGTTACAGTAGAAAGAAGAAAAAGTAAAACACCTAGAAAAAATGAGATATACAAAAATTACCACCATAGAAAAAATGAGATATACAAAAATGATCCCCATGTCAGTGAATACTTCGTTGGGTAACCTTTAGCATGAATTACAGCCTTACAACGTCTTCCCATGGAGTGAACCAAGTCTTTGAGTTCTGCAGCTGTTATCATGTGAAACCAAGATTGAATGATGGCTTCTGTTAACTGGGTTTTATTGCTGGGTCGCTTCTGACTAACCAGTTTCTTTAGTCGGCTCCATAGATTTTCAATTGGGTGAAGGTTTGGGCTATTCCCAGGCCATTCTAGCAGTGGAATAGGATTATCTTGAAACTCCCCAAAAAAGGGGTGTTATTAGCCATCAAACCTCAAAAACACACTTTTCCCAAAAAGTTTCCACAATTTTGGCCACTACTGTATATCAAATGCTGATGTATTATTCTGATTACAACAGTGGCATTTGCTCCATGTGAAACATCTTAAAACGGAGCACATTTTGGATCTCTCTTTTTTTGTTGTTGTTATTGTTACTTGTAACCATGGTAAACTGGCATTAAAATGGGATTTTCAGTGTCTTGAATCGGGGAGGATCTGCGTATAACAGATTGGGAACAGTGTCAAGCAGTTCTTGTTTAAAACTGCCAGCATCCTTGTGTCTTGTTCTCCCAAAGTTGATTTTGGAGAGAGGAAAACTGTGAGAGTTAAAAAAAAATATATATAAATCAAATGTAAGAGCATTTCTTTTTTTAAAAAAATTAATGAGCTCTAAACCCACCGAGTTGCTTCAGGAAACAGTAAAACTCACTACCGTATTTTTCGGACTATAAGACGCACCGGTATATAAGACACAACAAGATTTCAAAGAGGTAAGTAAGGGAAAAAAAAATTGGTTTTTGCCCTCCTCGGCCCTCAGGAACACTCTGCAGGCCTCCCAAACCCTCTGTGCACCCTGTTTTTGTGAAAAACGGGCCCATTTTTCGCAAAAATGGGACGAGTGGGGCTTTGGGAGCCACAAAAAATGGCTGTATTCGGTGTATAAATTGGCTGTACACCACCCTGAGTCCTTCGGGAGAAGGGCGGTATAGAAATAAAATTATTATTATTATTATTATTATTATTATTATTATTATTATTATTATTATTATTATTATTATTATTAGACACCAGGGTGGATAAAAATCAATGGTTTTTTTAAAAAAATCAGATTTTTTTGATTTTTTTTTTTTTTTAAATTTGATTTATATGCCGCCCTTCTCCGGAGACTCAGGGCAGCTTACAATGCGCTAAGCAATAGCCTTCATCCTTTTGTATATTTATACAAAGTCAGCTTATTGCCCCCACAATCTGGGTCCTCAATTTACCCACCTTAGAAAGGATGGAAGGCTGAGTCAACCTTGAGCCTGGCGAGATTTGAACTCGCAGTAATTGCAGGCAGCTGGATGTTAAATGCTGCCTTAGGAGGCATTAGCCTCCTACACCACTCAGGCTCCTATTTTTATCGAATTTATTTTAATAAAAAACTTTTGGGGTAAAAATCTATCGTAAGATAGTTTTCTATTTAAGATACATAAATAATTTAGTTTATTCAGCATGAAATGGAGCTTAGTTACGTAGCAGGAGGCTGTATATTCTGCAACACTGGGACTATCGGTGAGTCAACAGTGGGTCAATGGAGTAGCAGAGATGACAGTTGCTCTTTCAAAATTATGATTTAAATCGAGTTGATTTAAATCAAGCCTTTTTACTAGTGATTTAAATCATGATTTAAATCGTGATTTAAATCAACTCGATTTAAATCAAATCCACCCTGTAAGACACACCAACATTTCCACCCTCTTTTGGGGGGGGGGGGTGTCTTTATACTCTGAAAAATACGGTAATTCATAGCCCCGGCCTTTGACAAGATGGAACACAGTGGAACCAACCCATAAATAAGCCTTTTTTCCACCAAAGCGAATAAACAATGAACACTTGTATTAATCCACCTGCCACGTGGTCATCTGCACCAGCAGTTATGGATCTGAATTAAAAGAAGTTTCTTTTTTAAAAAATATGCATTTATTATGTTTATTATGTTTTCTCGATGGGAATAAAATACAAAACAAAAAAAACCCCGGGGGAAAAAAAATACATCCAACAGTAACAACAACGAAAAAAAGGCCAAAAAAAAAAACCACCAAACTGTATACAAAAGGGAAAAAAAGAAAAAGAATGACCCAAACATCCAACATTAAACATTGGGGGGGAAAAAAATCCCACTTAAACTTTAGCTGGTTTTCATGCCTAAGGCAAGACTAGAACTCGCTGTCTCCCCCGCTTTATGAAGTGGTGCTTAAACCACGAGATCAAACCGGTTCCTTATCTTGTTTAATGGGATTTTTTTATTTTATTTTATGGTTCTGCTTGTTGCCAGGGCAAGGGCCTCAGGATAAGCCACTGAAGCACATTTAAAGTAGGTGAAAAGGTCCTTAAGAAACGACAGTTGATCTGAGCAAGCGGTTGAAATCTGAGCCCAACAGCATTATCAAAAACAAAAGACGAAACTCTTGATGGAAATTGAGTCAAGCATCCTGCTCAAAGGCATTCAAAACAATCTGATCATAAGAAGATTGGCAGTTGAGCCAAAAAAAAAAAAAAATTCAGTATCAGCGACCAGTGAAATAATCTTAAAACACTTGCATTATTATTATTTACTTTATTCATTAAATATGAAACTCAGTCAACTGAACATTCAAAAATGCATCACAAATACCATTGATTGGTGCTAATGGTTGATACGGGTTGCTGCCAGCGTCCTAGGGATCAACCAAGTACATTATTATTATTATTATTATTATTATTATTATTATTATTATTATTATTATTATTATTTAATCTTTAGTGAGATTCACAGCCTTTGAGGCTGGTTAATAGCTCAGCAGCTTGAGTCCTAACCAAGGACCTAGGAACTGTTAAGGTATCGTCGGAGGATGTAAGCTGTTCCGAGTGAGGTGGTTTTTTGTAATTATTATTATTATTATTGCAAACAGCTGGAAGTAGCACCCATGGCCTGTAGCACTCATGGGCCACCCTGAAATATAATTTACTTGAAATCCCAAATTTTTCACTTTCTGGTTCCTCTTCGAAGATGTTTCCCTTCTCATCCCAGAAGCTTCTTCGGGAAAAACCAGAAAGTCCAGCTGCCTCTTGAAAAAGCGAAATTTGGGACAACCATGACCTGGATGACGGAGAACAAAGAAAGGACTTTGCCGTTCGTCTAAGCAACTCTTAAAAACATTTTTATTTTTTTGTCTTCAGGGTAGCCTTCACAATAATTCACTTCGATCCATTAAACATCACTTTTCTCTATAGTTTGAGATGTTTTCCTTCCACCCACCTCCGCCTTCTGTAACTCGGACTCCTCGAGATACGCGAGTTTTTCAGAATCCTGATTTAAGAGGCAATTCTTACATTTCTTTAATTTTAACATTTAAATTTTTTAAATTCCTGGGCAATTCTGAAGAGACAAATTATCCCTATCTGAAGAATATCCCAGTAAACACAAGGCTTTATTGAACACCAGAACATTCAGGATATAAATTGTTATCTACTTTTAGGTTCTATTTAATTGGGCCAAACTATGTTATAATAATAATTTTAATTAGCAATTTTATGATGTTTGTGTATCTATATTTTTCTTGACTGTACACCTCCTTGAGTCCTACGGGAGAAAGGCGGTATAGAAATATAATAAATAAATAAATAATATTGCAATGTGCTGTAGACCTCCTGGGTTGTAAACCGGAGGGCCGAACTTGTGAAATGAGGAAGAGTTTCCGCTCAGAAGTGATGCCACTTAACGGAAATGCCTTTTTGATTCTGTCTCCGTCCTTCCAGACTACTGCATGAACCCCCAGACGGTGTTATTGCTTCGGGTCATTGCTGCCTTCTGCTTCTTGGGCATCATCTGTAGCCTTTCAGCTTTCCTTCTCGACGTCTTCGGGCCCAAGCATGCCGCACTGAAGATTACGCGCCGTTACGCCTTTGCTCACATCCTCACAGGTAGCTGGGGAGCCTTGATTTTACATTAGGCTTTGGGTTCCTTTGTGTGTGTGGGGGGGGAACGAAGGCTCTTGTGGGGCTCCCGTGGGCCTTCCGGAACCGCCCGTCCCTCTTAACTTGTCCACCGAATACCGTATTTTTTGGACTATAAGACGCACCGGAGTATAAGACGCACCAAGATTTCGAAGAGGTTAACAAGAAAAAAAAAATTTTTTGCCTTCCCCGGTCCCTAGGAGCACTCCGCAGGATTCCCAAACCCTCTGTGCGTCCTCTTTTTGTGAAAAAGGGCCCTATTTTTGCCCCCCCCAGCCCTCGGGAGCACTGCAGGCCTCCCAAATCCTCTGCGCATCCCATTTTTGCGAAAAAAGGACCTGTTTTTGGCGAAAACGATAGGCGCGGGGCGGGGTTTCGGGAGGCCAAAAATGGCTATATTCGGTGTATAAGACGCACCAACATTTCCATCCTCTTTTAGGGGGGAACAAAGTATTCTTATACTCCGAAAAGTACGGTGCTTTCATTTTTCTCCATGCGTGCTTTATCTTGAACCTTGAACACACCCTATTGCGTGTTCCTACGGTGTTAAGTTTTTCCCCTCGGGAAATTTTTAGAGCTCACGTGCCACTATTGCTCTACCTACCTAGTTCCCTTCTGCACTGAAGGCACAATTAGTTGGACTAACAAGAGGAAGCACTTACGGAGCTTCTCGGTCATCCAAGTCATGGTTGTCCCAAAGGTGCTTTTTCAACAGGCAACTGGAGTTACTTTGGTGTAACTGGACCAAAAAGTCCAGTTGCCTCTTGAAAAAGCAGTTTTGGGACCAGAGAAGGCACCTATGCTTTCTCCTGTAGGTGCATCTCTGTCTTCGGCCCTTGGTTTGGCCACAAAATCATCTCAAAATGACATCATGGAGGGGCCAAACAAAATTATGGGGAAGGCATTCAACCACTTTTTGCAGTGCATTTGGTTTCTACCCCGTGTTTGGGTGAAAAATAAGTCATAAAGCATCTTTTTGTCGAGTCGGTTCTCCATGACACAAACCAGTCCAGCATGTACATTCAACTGGTATGTGTTTTAGTTCTGGCTGTGCACCGCCCTGAGTCCACTAGGAGAAGGGCGGGCTACAAATTGAATAAAATAAATAAATAAACTTCAAATCCCAAAAGATCAAATCTCTCCCCGTCTCACACTTTCATCTTAAAAAGACCGTAAGTGTTCAAAAAGCAAAAAAAAAGTACATTTGGCAGATAACTGAGATAATGCAACCCATTGGCTCCTCGCCAGCTGCCTCTCTCTCGCTCTTTCTCTCACTTTCTGTGTCTCTGTGTCTCTCTCTCTGTCTCTCTGTCTCTCTCTGTGTGTCTCTCTGCCTCTGCCAGTGTCTCTCTGAGTTTCTTTTTCTCTCACTTTCTGTGTCTCCCTCTGCCTCTCTCTTTCTCTCTCTCTCTCTGCCTCTCTCTCTCTCTCTCTCTGTCTGTCTGTCTCTCTCTCTCTCTGTGTCTCTCTGCCTCTGCCACTGTCTCTCTGAGTCTCTCTCTCACTTTCTGTGTCTCCCTCTGTCTCTCTCTCTCTGCCTCTCTCTCTCTCTCTCTCTCTCTCTGTGTGTGCCTCTCTCTCTCTCTGTCTCTCTCTCTCTCTGTGTGTCTCTCTGCCTCTGCCACTGTCTCTCTGAGTCTCTCACTTTCTGTGTCTCCCTCTGCCTCTCTCTCTCTCTCTCTCTCTCTCTCTGTCTTTCTCTCTCTGTCTCAGTGTGTATGTATTAGCCTGAGAAAGGGTCGTTGCCCGTGACCTCATTCCCCATGTTTCCATCCATGCGTCTTTTCCTTCTGCCCGCAGTGCTGCAGTGCGCCACGGTGATCGGGTTTTGCTACTGGGCCTCGGAGCTGATTCTCGCCCAGCAACAGCAGCACAAGAAGTACCACGGCTCGCAGGTCTACGTTACGTTCGCCGTCAGTTTTTACCTGGTGGCCGGAGCCGGCGGGGCATCCATCCTGGCCACGGCTGCCAACCTGCTGCGCCACTACCCCACTGAAGAAGAGGAGCAGGCCTTGGAGCTCCTGTCCGAGATGGAGGAGAATGAACCTTACCCCGCCGAGTACGAAGGCATCAACCAGTTCCAGCCACCACCGGCTTACACGCCGTAACGCTTCCCCGGATGACGGCTGGGGCAAAGGGGGGAGGGAGCTTCTTCCAGCCCGTCCCGAAAGTCAACCTGCACACAATTGCTTTGGGAACGCGTTCCCTTCTCTTCCTGGAACCTCCTCTTGTAGGTGTTTCTCCTTTCCTTCCTCTCCGTGGATCTGCTCCCTTTTACCATTTCCTGTCTGGAGAGAGGACAGGAGCCAGAGCCGAAGACTTGCTCATGCAGTGACCTCTGAAGCAGGCGTATTCTGAAGCAATGGGGTGACCATTGGGGCGGGGTTTGAACCTCAGGCATTCAGTGGGGAGGGGGTGGAAGTTTTCCTGACTTTTTCAGCTGCCAAGAGCGGCAGAGTTTGGGGGCTCCAGAGAGAGAGAGAGAGAGAAAGGAAAAAGAGAGCTGCTTCAGGAGAAGGAAGCGAAAAGGAAGGCGTGTAGACAGCTTGATTGGGTGGGAAAGGGGGTGGGGGAGGGGGTGGGTGGGCGGGGGGAAGGGGTGCCACCATTTTTGGCATTGCGCTAAGACGTTTCGCACTGGTGGGCAGCGGAGAATTCAGCCGTCCTGTCCTGCCACCCGCAAAACTCCTCTCCTTTGGGGGGTGGGGGGTGGGGAGGAAGAACGGAAGGGGACGCTCCTCTGACGTTCACCCCCTCGGGCCAACAGGCTTGGCCTCCAGCACCCCGAAAGATATGGGACTCTTCCTCTATGCACTGGTTTGTGGAGAGGCGACCCCGTTCGGTCGACCCTCGTGCTTCCTGAAAAAAAAAGCAGGGTTAACGTTTCCTCCCACCTTCGTTTCAGCCACTCCCGCCTTCTGCGACTCGGCGGAAGCGTTTTTTTGCACTTTGCTCTGCTCTTTCTTCTCGCGGCCTCCTCTTTCCCTGACGGGGTTGCGTGTGTATGTGGGGGGGGAGGGCCCACGAAACGTGGCGCCCTCCCAAGAGGATATCGCGACTACTGAGTTTTCTCCCTGGGGAGGGGGGGCTGTTGTCTCCGGCAAGGGACTCGCGGGGGCTCTCCTTCCATCTGGCGCTCCTGCTCTGCAGAACTGCCAGGCCTTCAACCCCTCCGCGTAAGGCAACGTATCAGAACCACGTTCTTTTCCCCGCTCTCACCACCACCACCACCACCAATGCAACCAAATGATATGCAAATACTGATTCCAAGCTCGATTTCCACCGTTAAACCTTTTCGGTATGTCTTTCGTCCCTGTTCCCCTGTCCCCCCTCCCCACCGATTCCACCTTTGTAATCTCAAAACCGTCTCCATGTAGCCTCTGGCCCCGATCTTTTCGTCCCGCCGGCGTTTCACAGACAGAAGTCCTCCTGTTAGCTGCGGGTAGTAACCGAAAGAGCATTTCACAGCTGGCTTTCTGTACAAAGAGAATGATAAGTTAACCTTTTCCTTGTTTTATTTTGTTTTTCTCGCTCTGCGTGGAGGTAAACCCGCTTCGAATAAGCCAGCATTTTTTGTTTGTTTGTTTGTTTGTATTCACTAAACCAGAAGCCTTCAAACTTGGCAGCTTTAAGACTTGCGGACTTCAGCTCCCAGAATTCCTCAGCCAGCATAGCCATAGCTGGCTGGAGAGTTCTGGGAGTTGAAGTCCGCAAGTCTTAACGCCGCCAAGATTGAAGACCTCTGCACTAAAACACGCTTTTACGGACAGTGGGAGGGAGGGAATGAGTGAGCAGCCTTGTCAAGGAGTGTTTGTGTAAGTTTGTGTGTGTTTTAAAAGAAGATCGAGACTGTAAAACAAAGTAAAACCGGTTTGGCTTGATGGAAGTTTGTTCCTGTTCAATGAGATGAAAAGATAACGTAGCGAAAGGCGCCTGAGAAGGTCGAAGGGGGTTTGCCACGATCTTGATGCTGAAGGGAGGGATTTGGGCTTTTAAAGTTAGAGAGGACTTTAATCCTTCTCTTGTATGTGCCCAGTTGATGCAGAGCGCATGATAGTCTCTATAGCAGGGGTCTCCAATCTTGGCAAAGATTGAAAGCAGAATTCTGGGAGTTGAAGTCCACAAGTCTTAAACTTGCCAAGATTGGAGACCCCTGCTCTATAGCCTGAGCCTGTTAACATGCCACCGGTATCAATACAGGGTTGGAAGTGGCGGGAAGGAGACCCTTTCCCTGTCCTCTTAATTGCAGGGGAGAAAAACTGGGACAGAATTTTTCATTAGGCTCTAAAGACTTCCATCTTTTAAAAGCTGAGAAGGAGACAGTTAAGGAATGTACTCTGTTTCTCCCAAAATAAGACATTATCCCCTGATAATAAGCCCAGTCGGGTTTTTGAGTGCATGGCAAAAGGCCAAGCGCTTATTTCAGGGTTCAAAAAAATATCAGACAGGGTCTTATTTTCGGGGAAACGCGGTAGAAGAAATCTGATCTTTTTATTTTATTTTTTTTAAAAAAAAGGCAGTTCAATTGGGTGTCCCAATCTCACTTTTGTGCTTTCCGCCCCGCACACAAAACAGCCGGTAGCGATCTTTTGCTCCCTTCAGATTGCTCCCTGCTAAATTTGGCTTTAAATGTTGTGCACACTTTTACTATTTTCCACCTGGTCTCTTGGATTTGAGCCAGGGGTGAAATGCTCCAAAGTCTGCTACCGGTTTGCTTTGCTCTTTGCGCATGCATGTGTGGTACGCACCAAATGTACAGGCACTACTGCGCAGCGCTGAAAAAGGAGGATTAAGACTTTTCTAAGGTAAGTAGAACAGTGAGGGGGGGGAACAGTTGTGCCGCGTGATTTAGATTCTCTAGAAAGCAGAATTTCTTATATAAATCACGCGGCACAGCTGATCGTTGGAAATACCGGTTCGTCCAAACTGGTAGTATTTTTTTTACTACCGGTTCACCCGAAACTTCTATTACTACCGGTTCGGGCGAACCGGTCTGAACCGGTAGCATTTTACCCCAGATTTGAGCCCTGGTGGCGCAGGGATTAGAAGGCATTATTGCAGGCCGATTCTGCATTTCCACTGCCAGGAGTTCAATCCTGGCCAGCTCAATGTTGACTCAGCCTTCCATCCTTCCGAGGGGGGGTCAAATGAGGACCCAGATTGTTGGAGGCAAGAGGCTGACTCTGTAAACCGCTTAGAGAGGGCTGTAAAAACACTGTGAAGCGGTATATAAATCTAAGTGCTTATTGCTATTTGGATCTTGAAGTGAGTAACGGGAAAATGCCGTGTTCGCTCTCTTTCCCCTTTTCTGGCTCAAGGCCGGGAAGGCAGCACCTCCACCTGCCAAGGGCAGCTTCATTCATCTTGATTCATCTTCAGAATAAACTGGTGGCCCCAGTCTGCCTTCTTTTTCCATAGCGGGACTTGATTAAAAACCAATCTCCACATAATCTGCCTGTGATCATTTTTAGACCCAGCGCATGGTTCACCGAGCACTGTTGATTAACTCCCATCGGTTAAAATCTGGATTCCTTTTTCTACCCAAAATAAAAACGACGGCGTAAATTGCCTCTTGGCCAATAATTGGAAGTGCAGCTTGTAAAGGAACGAATGATCCCAAGATTAGAGAGCCTTGCGTGCTTTCATCAGGAAGGGGCAAACCCAAGTGTCTGTCAGAGAAAAGGTGACGACATCTCGCATTTTAACAATATCTGGCACTTTTCCTTTTTTTTTGTAATTATCCCTCCTTATTCTCATCACTCTCCTTTTGTAAATGGGATTGTACCCATGCAGAAAATGGGACTCTGGTGATCGCAGCCTATTGTGCAACTCCCAATTTGCATTCTGAGTAGCAGCTACTTATGATGGTTTCCTCACCGGAGGCTCCGTTCTTAATCGAGGTAACGTCGACACCTCCACCAAGGTGTTTTGAGGAGCCTGTGGAAGAGAAACCGTTCCGAAACAGGTTCGTGTTTTAAAATAAAAGCTGCCCGCATATTTTACGCGATTCTTCAAAATCTTTTAAATGTCGAAGCCGTGGAGATCTTTCCTTGGAATAGCAGGAGGGGGAAAAGGGTTAAAGCTGCCTTCAAATTGGGTTCAGGATTTTTTTGGGCAATCACGGGGAAGCAGTTGCTCTCGAGTGCAAAAAAAACAGTGTCCAGAAATTATTTAAAATATATTTGCAGCATAGAAAGTTCAAGGGTTAGAATATGTCCTGCAGTTGTTTTTCAGAGCTCTTTAGGGCAAATCCAAAGAATAACTGTAGATAACTTGAGAGTGGCTTCAGAAAGGAAGGAGGATATTTTAATGGAGGAATTGATCTTGTTTTGTGGATATTCTCAGGAATGCCGGTCATTATGAGCAGCTGTTAGAAGCATCAACCTCTCCTTCCTTCCTTCCTTCCTTCCTTCCTTCCTTCCTTCCTTCCTTCCGTTCATTCCTCCTTCCTTCCTTCCTTCCATGGTGCACAGTGGGTTAGAATGTAGCATTTCAGGCTAACCGTTGCCAGCAGTTCGATTCTGACCGGCTCAAGGTTGACTCAGCCATCCATCCTTCCGAGGTGGGTCAAATGAGGACCCAGATTGTTGGGGGCAAGAGGCTGATTCTGTAAACCGCTTAGAGAGGGCTGCAAAGCACTGTGAAGCGGTATATAAGTCTATTTCCTTCCTTCCTTCCTTCCTTCCTTCCTTCCTTCCTTCCTTCCTTCCTTCCTTCCTTCCTTCCTTCCTTCCTGTGTTTAAAATGCAGTATTATAAGCTAACTGCCCACAGCCAGGAGTTTGATCCTCCTTCCATCCTTCCAAGGGGGGTAAAATGAGGACCCAGGTTATTGGGGGCAAGAGGCTGACTCTGTAAACCGCTTAGACAGGGCTGTAAAGCGCTATGAAGCGGTATATAAGTCTAAGTGCTATTGCCATTAGGTATCACTGCCCTTTTTCTAATGAACTCAAAGAAATCTCTTTTAAGTGTGGGTTCTGCTGGGATGCTTGCTTGAGGGAGAGTTCCTCTGCTTTTTCTCCACTAGGTGGCAGTTTCCAGCAAATCAAAAGCTACATGGAATTCTGCATAGGGAGCCCTGGAGTTACGACCACAATTGACCCCAAAATTGATGTTGCTAAGTTGAGCAATGTGTTAACTGAGTTTTGCCCTATTTTACGACTTTTCTTGCCGCATTTCTTAACCGAACCACTGCAGTGGGTTAAACTAGTAACACAGTTATGGAGATTTCTCTGTTATCCAGACCCCAAAGATGCTTTTTCAGGAGGCAGTTGGATTGTCTGGTTTTTCTTTGAAGACGTTTCGCTTCTCATCCAGGAAGCTTCTTCAGCTCTGACTGGATGGTGGAGAATGGACGGATTTATAAATTGTAAATTAAATCCTTCCGTTCCTCACCAACCCAGTCAGAGCTGAAGAAGCTTCTTGGATGAGAAGCGAAACGTCTTCAAAGGAAAACCAGAAAGTCCAGTTGCCTCTTGAAAAAAAAAAACACCTTTGGGATAGTAACAAAGTTGTTAAGCGAATCTGGTTTCTACTTTGCTTTCGCTGGTCTCAGTAGGTTGCAGAAGACCCCGGGACACTATGACCGTCATAAATGTCACTTTTTTTCCCAGTGCGGTTGTAACTTCTAATGGTCGCTAAATGGACTGTTGAAAATCAAATTTCTGTACTGTTAAGTCCTTGGATGGGAAGCCACCAAGAAACTACAGCTAGTCCTCAAATAACGACCACAATTGAGCCCAAAATTTTTGTTGCTAAGCGAGGCATTCGTTAAGTGACTTTTGCCCCATTGTACCTTCTTTCCTGCCACCGTTGTTTAGTTTATTTTATTTGTATTTGATTTGTATACCACCCTACTCCCGAAGGACTCAGGGCGGTGAACAGCCAAACAATAAAATACATAGATACAAAAAATTTAAAAACCAGATAAAATGAATCGCTGTTAAGTGAACAGCACGGTTGTTAAGTGAATCTGGCTTCCCCATTGTCTTGGCTTGTCAGAAGGTCGCAAAAGGGGATCCCATGTCTCCGTATACCGCAACCGTCATAAATGTGAGTCAGATCACATGACTTTGGAGAGGCCATAATGGGTGTCAACTGTGAAAAACAGCCCCAGGGCACTTTTTACAGCGCCGCCGTAACTTTGAATGGTCACTAAGCGAGGTGTTGTTAGTTGAAGACAACCTTTATAGCAGGGTCAGGAAGTGGCAGCCTGGGGCATTCTGGGAGTTGAAGTCCACAGCTCTTCCGTGGGCTGAGATTGACAAAATGCTGCATTGAACTACAATTCCCAGAGTTCCCTGACAGTATCCAGAGGCTGGGGATTGTGGTACTTGGGCCCGCTCGCCTCTGGAGGAGACCAGGCCCCAGTAACGCCTGCTTCCCTAATGGAAATTCCCAGAAAAGGGATTTTTTTCCCCTTTTTCAAAGATACAACAGGGAGAATCCAAACTCCATCTCCCCCTGGACTGCATCTCCCATCGTCCTTTGCTGGCCGGTAAAGCCCCCCCAAGGCCGTCCTTAGAAGCGCCTGGCTTTCCACGCAGGCGCCATCCAAGGGCAGCCCCGCCGGGGGTCCTCCTGTCTCCAAGGCGCCCTTGAGTGGGTCACAAGGCGGAGCTTCGAGGCTCGGTGGGCGGCGATTCGAAGGAAAGTCAGCGCGCCGGCCGCGAGGTCGCAGAAGTGGGGGGGGGGGAGAAGAAGATGGACGTGTCTTTCCTCCAATCGGAAGGCGGGGCTGCCTAAGAGCCGTCCAATAAGGCGCGGCGCTGGCGGCGCGGGGCGCGGCCTAGCCAGCAGAGCTCGCTTTCTGAGGGCTTCGAGGAGGGGAAAGCGAGGAGAAGGCGCCGCAACAGAGCTAGGCCGCCCCTCCCCCCCCAAAAAAACCCTCCGCTCGGGCCGCGCCACCGGCTGGAGGGTTCGCGGGGAGAGAGAGGCTTCGTCCGGTAAGAGTCCCCCCCCCATCAACGGCCCCTTCTTTCTAAAAGGCCTCTGGGAATTGTAGTCTCCGCTGCCTGAGGGGGGGGGAACTGAGGGTCCCTCGGTGAGGGGAGAGCGGCCATTTGGCGCCTGCGCAGTGCATGCTGGGAAAATGGCGCCAAATCGCCTCAGGGCATGGAAGGGGCGTCGTGGCCGCAGCCTCGGCCGGCTTCTTTCGGGCCTTTGGGGTCGAAGGGGGTGTGTGGGGCGGAGGGGGTGAGGAGAAAGGCTGCCAGCCGCCGTCGGGAAGCCCCGTAAAGCGGCCAGAAATTGAGTGGGTGGGGGCGTTTGGGGGTCTTTCTTGGGCCTCTTGAGAGACCGCGGGGTGGTCGGTGCACAAAGGGAATCGATATATATATGGGACACCCATATATTGGCTATATATATGTATATATATATATAGCCATAGGAATATGTATGTATGTATGTATGTCTTTGGTTATTCGGGTTTTCTCCTGCGTAAAATTGGAGGTTTCTTGGCAACGTTTCGACGAAGTCTTATTTGTCATCTTCAAGCTGGTGTCTTCGGCTTTGTGCTTCTAGGAGCAATGTGTGTGACAGGAAGAAACAGCTGCGATCACACACATTGCTCCTAGAAGCACGAAGCCGAAGACACCAGCCTGAAGATGACGAATGAGACTTCGTCGTAACGTTGCCAAGACACCTCCCAATTTTACGCAGGAGAAAGGTCTTCTCCCACGTAAAATTGGAAGTGTCTTGGCGACGTTTCGACCAAGTCTCATTCGTCATCTTCAGGCTGGTGTTCTCGGCTTCGTGCTTCCATTGGGAGACTAAGAGTGTTGGGCAACAGAGTGCTTGCTGGCTGCCTGAAGGAAAAAAAAAGCCTAGAAACTAGTGGATTGGGATTTCACTGAACTAGGGCTGCATAAAAATCTTGGTTTACGTAGGAAGAACCTGGCTAAAGAGTAATACACATAAAGGCCTACAAAAAGAAAATAAATATTGTACCTTTACAGGGAGGATACATGGGATGAAGGTGTGGCTAACTGATGAGGATTTATAAGTCCGAAATAGATCTATCTTAGTCTCTTTAGTCTCCCAATAGGCAGCAGAGTGTTTGCTGGCTGCCAGAAAAAAGAGCCTAGAAACTAGTGGATTGGGATTTCACTGAACTAGGGCTGCGTAAAAATCTTGGTTTATGTAGGAAGAACCTGCCTAAGGAGAAATACACATAAAGGCTTACGAAAAGAAAACATATCTATCTATATATTTGTTTTCTGACATATATATATATATCTAAAACCAAGCTGTCTCAGGAATTCTGGGAGTTGAAGTCCACAGGTTGTAAAAGAGCCACAATTGCCCATCCCTGGCCTAGGAGAAAGAAATGAGCCACGAAATTAAAGTGTTATTTATGGTTGGGTTCAGCATAAACAGCTCAGCGACAGGTTTAGACTGGATTTGGCATTTTTGTCCGCCTATTGAGTCCTTCCCAAGGACCTGGTGTAGGTAGATGTGATTTAATAATATTGTCACATAATGTTAAGCTGTTTCTAAGTAAAGGTGCCTTTTGCAAATCGATTGACAGTCTTCCAATGGTGCCCTGATGTTCTGGAATTGCGTGCCTATTTTTAGGTGCCTATTTTTCCTTTTTTTGCCACAGTTCTTCTATTTGCAGATCTTTTTGTTATTATATTTTTAATCCTGCCATTTTTATATACAAGTCACAATGGCAAACATATCTAATACTCCTGCCTCCTATTCTTCCCACAATGACAACGATATGTGAGGGGGGCTGATAAAGTGAGACTGGCCCTTTAAAGTCACCCAGCCAGATTTCTTGCCTACGGAAGGCCTAAACCTCTCAGTCACCTACTTTCTAAGCCAGCATTTTTACCACTAAACCAAACTGACTCTAGAAATTATCAGAAAACCATAATACAGGAACAGATCAGCAATGGACGCTGCTTTATAATTACCACCAATGATACATGGCAGACATTTAATGCATTTCAGTGTCTTGCTGTATTTGCCAGTCAGATGGTTTTTAGGGGAGTGGGAAATTGTTGTTCTAGATTTCACACGGCATTAAAGTCATCTGACTGAATTTTATCTATGTATTTCTGTAGCTGAGGCCATGTGCAAAGGGAAGAGCAAATACCTTTCAGCTTTCAGATGGATGTATTTTGGCTCAAATCTATAATTTGCTATCTTCTGATGTAAGCAGTTGGGCACACGCTAAAAATTAAAACGTTTCCCTGCAAACTGCTAGGGATAATGCAAGTTAATTTGTGCACATTGTGAATAACCGTGCTGTTGAGTAATAAAAATTCTGCACCATTTTGTAACTCTCCTTATCTTCTAAGAGCTTAGTAGAAATCGTTCTAATCTGAAATTTGTCCTGCGTAACTTTTAAACATACCTTCACAACTCTACTGTACAGGCTTGGGTGTTTTTTTAAAAACCTGAGATTGCTAATGGGGAAAATTGTTTTGTAGGATTTGTTCTGTATTGAGTCACAAGATGGGTAACAGTGTAGGACAGTGTTTTTCAACTACAGCAATGTTTAAGATATGGGGAATTCTAGGAATCCCCATATCTTAAAAGTTGCCAAGGTGTAGAAACACTGGTGTAGGACACACTTCCCATTCAGAACTGTTTTAATTCTGTAATCTCCTACCTGTATTATTGTTGGCTGTGCTATATGAGGGATTATGACAGTTAATCCATAATGTTTATGGACAGACCACTTAGGAAAGATTGAGGCAGAATGTGGCAGTAATGAATAATCGATTTGGAAAGTATGCGGGGGGGAGGTTTGGCCAGATTATTGCAGTGATATTGTATTGGCATATTATTGCAACAGATCTGAAAAAAAGAGGGTGGCATTTTCTCTATTTTGTAATTGACAAAAAGCAGGTATCTGAGTTTTTATTTGTATGCTACCTTCCTGGCTCATAGCCTCTTCAATACAGTACTTGGTCCTCTAATAATATTTACTTAAAGCTCAAGGAATCAAGGTACAATAAAGATTATGAGCTAGCATCAGATTAATTCTGTCGTTTGTAAAGTTAAAGATGAGTCTCATTACTTAATATTTACCTTATTGTGCAACCATGAAGGGTTTCTTTTTTTTTTCCTTTCTCTTGTTTTTAATTGCATATTTCTGATTCTGAAATAGATTGCAGATATTTATGGATCCTTTTAAATTGGAATAGAGTATTAGACTTTCACATTTGAAGAGTTGCTGTTCTTTTAATCAAAGGAAGTTTAATTACATTTTGCATCTTCCACCTCGGCATTTGGCAACCTCAAACGTTTGATCCAACAGATGCAACCAGGCTTGCGAGATCTTCCTACTCCTTTTCACAAACTCAGTTCTGACTAGAAGTTAATCTGTGGGTAGAGCGGGCAGGTTGATGAGCACATATTCTTGATACAGCAGAAGTGCCTCGGGGCTATTTCTCTGTTACTTGATACTGTTGAGAGTTGGAAGAGTCTTTGGGCGAGAGGGTCTTACTTGGCAGCTGCTGCAGAAATCTCTTACTGTAAAAAAAAGACCCTTGCACCAGTCCCCTTTTGGATGAACTACTGTACAAAGGTATGCTATAAGCATTCCTGCCCTGGGGTCATTTTTAGGTTACTATTTTTAGGCTACCAAGCAAGCTGATCCTGTTGCTAATACCAATTACTGTAGCTGCTTTTGAGGCCTATAATAGGATGCTGAGAATAGCGGTAGAGGAAGCACGCTTCTTACTTCGGACCCTTGCTTCTCCAAGAGAGAACGTTTCCATGCTGGAAAGGTTGAATAGTGAGACAAGGGGTTCTGCTTGTGAAGAAAATGTGATGTGGCTGACCTGGATACACTCGTTTGTTTGAATGCTAGACCTAAGTTTAAATTCCATAAAAGCTTACTTTCTTTTTAGTTCCAGCCATCCGTCTATATCGGGGTATTTTTATAGCGATTTCATGTTGTTGTTTCATGCTGTGCGCTGGACTTTCAATGCTATGTTTGTTTTTGATCTGTCATATCATATGAAGCTCATGTATTTGTAAACCACCATTTATAGTGGAATTTAGGAATCTGGATATTTTATCTCTGCACTTGAGAAATGCAGGATATTAATTTCATTCCATTTTATACTTTGACTTTTGGATCGGATTGGGGAAAAAATCAAATTCAGGCAATATATGGCCTATTAACCTTTCTTAACATCAACCAGTTAAATGATACATCTGCCAGTCTTTTCACGTATTTAGTTGTATCCTATGGAAGAAGATAAAATAAATCATTTTAGAATAAATAAAACCAAAGCAATAGCAACATTAAGCAAAAGAACAGAGAATAAGGCAACGGCATAGCAGAATAATTCTTTAACACTGCTTTCTGTGTGGCATACTTACTAAACCAGCATGATAGATACCCTTTTGTTTAAAAAAAAAAAAAGGCTGACCAAAACAAAGGCGTTTTATAATGTGTTTTTGCGATTTATACGTGGTCTGTAAACCTCTGCTAGATTGCTGACATGGGTTGTTGAAGTAGCTGCTCTTAAGTTCCTGCCTGAAACTCAAAACGAAGCTCCCTTCAATTGTGATGCTGTCTATCCAGTCAAGAGAGGAGAACCTTAAATGTGAAGATATCAAACGTTGTGACTGATGTTGTGTTGTGATTGTGGTGCTTTTTTTCCCTCCTCTTTAGGGCATTGACTGGTCAGTGAGGCGTGGCAGGAATGTTCCACCCACTTCAATGGAGGCCGCCCTCCAGCTTTTATTCCCTTTATGCGAACTCATCCCGCTTCATCAGCTATGAAGGGAAACCACGGAACGTGTGGTGGAACGAGGACTTCCTGAAGGGCAAGTACCAGTGGCTGCTTACGTGGCTTCGGAAAGGCTCCGAGCAAGACCCGGGGCAGAAGAGCCTATTATCCCTGCTGGCCAATCAGTGCAGTTACGTGACCAGCCAGAGGATCAGGCGTGCTCAGCAAATCGCTCAGCTGTACAGTAACATTTACTCCGAGAGGGCGCGCAAGAATCTCTTCTCTTCCTTGTGGCGTCGGTTCCAGGGTCATCATGCCAACGCCTGCAAGCTGATGGCAGCCCTCACCGGAGTGTTCCTGTGGGAAGAGGAGAGGATCAAAGAAGAAGAGCTGAAGAGGTAGGTTTTCTCCCCTTTCTTCTAAGGCTCGGGGGTGGGGGTGGGGGTGGCGGCGTTGCAGGTGGACAGAGCTCCTTCTGTGTTGGTAACAGGGCACATCGTGACCCAATTTCCTTTTAATTCCTCGGTGGCCGGGGCAGGATTATCACTTGGAGGGAACATTTTCTGTTAGCTCTCGTACATCCAGCAGGTGCCTTGACCCAGATTTCTCTTTGGTGCCATAATTACCAGGCAAGCCGACCATTGTTGTAGAGCAGGACTGTCCAACCTTGACAACTTGGATAGGGATAGAATAAGATAGTATAGTATAGTATAGTATAGTATAGTATAGTATAGTATAGTATAGTATAGTATAGTATAGTATAGTAGTATAGAATAGAATAGATAGAATAGAATAGAATAGAATAGAATAGAATAGAATAGAATAGAATAGAATAGAATAGAATAGAATAGAAATAGAATAGAATAGAATAGAATAGAATAGAATAGAATAGAATAGAACAGAAAACAGAAAACAGAAAACAGAAAACAGAAAACAGAACAGAATAACAGAGTTTGAAGGGACCTTAGAAGTCTTCTAATCCAACCCCCTGCTTAGGCAGGAAACCCTATACCAGTGATGGCTAACCTTTTTGCCGTCGTGCCAAAAGCAGGAGGGAACGTGGGGGGGTGTCGCGTGCCGAGACTCATAATTCAATGCTCTCCGTGCTCCCCCCCACTTTTGGCACGCGACGGCAAAAAGGTTACAGGTGGGCCCGGTAGGCCCATTTTTCGCCCTCCCCAGGCTCCAGAGGCTTCCTTGGAGCCTGGGGAGGGCGAAAACGCCCCCCCCCAAAGAGGCCAGAAATGGCCCATTTCCCAACTTTAGGTGGGCCCGGAAGGCCCGAAAATCAGCTGGCTGGCGCACACGTGCACTGGAGCTGAGCTAGGCCAACGCTCGCGTGCCCACAGATATGGCTCCACGTGCCACTTGTGGCACATGTGCCATAGGTTCGCCATCACGGCCCTATACCACTTCAGACAAATGGCTGAGGAATCTCTTCTTAAAAACCTCCAGTGTTGGAGAATTCACAATTTCAGGAGGCAAGTTATTCCATTGGTTAATTGTTCTAATTGTTAGGAAACCTGTGGACTTCAACTCCCAGAATTCCCCAGCCAGCGTATTGTCAAAAGATTGAATTTGCTCATGCTTCCTGTGGCTATTATCGCTTCTCAACTTGCCAAAGAACTTGGGGGGGAGGGAAGAGGAAGATGGATTGGGGGAGGCTCCAGCCTTCAACCGTGAGAGCCAAGTCCCCACCAAGGACACTTCTGCAGGTGTTGGCCAAGACATAAACTCTTCTCAAAGCAAAAGGATGATTCATAATTGGACAATGCTACCTGTCCAATGGGAGGAGGGGAGAAATCTATTCTATGCAGAATTGCATGGGAAAAGTTAGAAAAAATTCGGCCGAAAAAATGCTTTTAAAAGTAAAAAAAAAAAAGTTGGCCATGCCCACCCAGTCACATTACACCCCCCCCAAGCCACGCCCACAGAACCGGTAGTAACAAATTTTACATTTCACCACCGATCATTGGGCATTATGGGAGTTGTTATCTAACAGTGGAAGAAAGCATGACTTGTAGTCCCCAGTTAAAGCAAACAGCATTTATTACTGTGTTTTCAAATATTTACATGGACTTCAGGACCTTTTTTGTTTGTTTGTTTGTTTTTTTAACCACATACCTGTTTTGAAGTACACTGATTTCTGTAGATCCTGCTGTGTGTTGTGGGGCAGCCTACTGCCACCGTTGTGTTGTGTGATAATTTCCAGATTAGCTTTCCGCTGGCCGCCGATGAAAGCCGGAGTGCCGAACATCTGGCAGAGGCCAGACTCCCTAACTTTAGCAGACCATATACCTGCAGGATTTAAAAAATTCAGGAGGAGCAGGGCGTGTCACAAAGTGAACGCAGCGAGGGAAAGCCGCAGGGATCTATTCTGCTAAAACGGGGGCCAGTCACAGGGAATGTGTGAGGTCATTGTTAAATAGTTGGCTGCCAACAATGGCTCCCAGTATTCCTCTGGCTCTCTTCTCAACCCTGAACAGCTTGGGACCAAAGAACCTGAAAAGCCTCATTTTCCCCGTGAAGAAATACCCGTCAGTGCCTGGAGTCTTTTGCAAATTCAATACTGAACTTGGTATTTGCTAAGCTTTGAAATTAATTTCTTGGCAGGCTTGCTTAGCCCTCATTTCCACTGGCCCTCTTTAAAAGACTTTTTGAAGTCGTCTTTGTGCTGCTGAGTTTAGCAGACTTTTGTTCTTGTACGGGGTGGGGAGGCAGTGTTTATGTGTGTTAAGTTTAGAAGCTTTTGCTGCTTTACAAAACTAAATCAGCCAGCCAGCTTCTGCAGGAACATGGGGGTACTTAACCTTTCCCCTCTTTCTGGAAAGGATCACTGTGGCTGAAAGAATTGTCTTAAAGCAGCGTCCCTCAAACTTTTGGACACCAGGGACTGGTTTTGAGGAGGGCAGTTTTTCTGTGGAACGGAGGGAGGGCATAGTTTTGCATGCTGCCTGGATCCTGCACACTCATGGATGGGAACTGGGCTTATAGAGCCCAGTTCTTGGGCTGCGGACCGGGAGTTGGGGGCCCCATCTTGAAGCATTGATAGTGAGGTGAAGGCAGGGTTTATTTAAAATAGTCCCCAACCTTTCTGGCTTTGTGGACCAGTGGGTGGAGGGAGAGGGGATGATTGCGGGCGAGCGAGTGTGCATGCACGCGTAGTTCTCTTTGCACAAACGGTGGGCATGCATGCACAAATGGAGCTTTGCACACACATGCGCTCACCCGCCATTCATGCAAGTGGAGCTGCGTGCGTGACCGCTTGCCCGCCACTCGCACGGCCCAGTTCCGAAAGGTTTGGGGACCTCTGGCCTAGAGGATGTGAAAAGGAAGGAAAGATACCATCAGAAATTGTTGAAACATAGATTTAGTAAATCTTCTAACATAAAAATAAATGCAAGGTGGCTGTTGAGAAATACCGTGTTTCCCAGAAAATAAGATCGGGTCTTATATTAATTTTTGCTCCAAAAGATGCCTTAGGGCTTATTTTCCGGTCATGTCTTATTTTGGGGAGAATACGGTACTAAATGCATCCATCTGGCTGATGATCTTAACTGGGGCTTATTTTTGGGGTAGGGTTTATATTCCAAGCATCCGGGGGTGGGGGGAACCCCATGCTAGGGTTTATTTTCCGGTAGGGTCTTATTTTGGGGGAAACAGTATGTAGTAGCCATGAAACTCAAAATAAACTTTTTAACTCCAGAAAAGACAACTCTTCATATACTTAAGTGTCCTCAGAAAGCTTAATGTTTAAAGGACATTAAACATAAAGTGGGATTATGGATCAATTGTGTTACAAATCTGTTCTGAACCAATAGCAGGTGAGATCTCGCAACACACCTTTTGGCTGTTTGCGTATTGCTGAGCTCAGGACTGAATCTTGCACAAACGCTGGATCGCTTTGTGTAATCCAGGCTACTCTTGCCCAAGCACTTAACCGGTAATCCCCTGGCCCCCAGTGTGGGTTTTTGTGAAGGTGATGAACGTTGAACTAGGATGAAAAAGGTTTGGTACAGTCTTCCCACTTCACCGTGACCTTCTCTGAGTGACACTGGCCAAGTCCCTGACTGCCTGAGATGCTTTTTATGAAAGTCAGGAGTGATGGACAGGTGGTTCTCGATATACGACCACAAATTGAGCCCAAAATCTCCATTGCTAAGCAAGATTGTTGTTAAGTGAGTTTTGCCCAATGTTGCAACCTTCCCCCCCCCCCCCATGATTATGAAGTAAATCATTGTGGTTGTTATGTTAGTAATGGTGTTAAGCAAATCTGGCTTCCCCACTGACTTCTGCAAAAGGATCTCACACGACCCCGGGACACTAAAACTGTCACAAATACATGCCAGTTGCCAAGCGTCCAATTTGGATCATGTGACCACGGAGACGTTGTAACAGTCATGAGTGTGAAAAGCGTTCACCGGTCACTATTTTCACGGCGTAGCTTCAAAAAGTCACTAAATGGATGATTGTAAATCAAGGACTGTCTCTACTCAAGCGTACCGTGTTTCCCCGAAAATAAGACCCTGTCTTATATTTTTTTGAACCCCGAAATAAGCGCTTGACCTTATTTTCGGGGAGTTCTTATTATTTTGGGGCACACGGAGCAAGATGAGGCTCCTCTTGCCGTCTTACCTGATTTCCAGATCTGCGTTTAAATATTTTCAGGGAGGGCTTATTTTTAGGGGGAGACTTATTTTAGCACATGCACTCAAAAGCCCAATTGGGTTTATTATCAGGGGAGGTCTTATTTTCAGGGAAACGGGGTAGTAGCTGGAAGGAGCCTTGGAGCTCCTCCGATCCAACCTCCTCTATATGCATGTGATTTTTTTATTTTTTATTTTCAAAACCCCTTCTACGTTCTAAGCAGCTTCTAAAAATTTCAAGTCTTTTTTGAGTTTTTATTCTTTGCCTATCTGGGCCAATCGGTGGAAGGAAGGATGCATCTAAATGGGTGAAGGATAAACACGCATTTCGGAACGAATTGTTTTCCTTCAACTTTGACTTCAGTGCAAATTAAAGTCAAACGGAGGAATATCCCTTGTGCAAGCCTCAGTTGAAGAGAATGAGAGGTGTCTGTTGAGGACAAGCTTCCATTGACCTGGAAGCTTCCAGATTTATGTAACAGTTGTCTTAATAAAAGCAGCTCTTGGAAGATCAGTAGATGATTCGACTCAATTTACCTATTGCCCTCATTTAATCACTTTAGTCATGCTATTTGACATATTTCAAACATGTGGCCTTCCACTGAATGTCTGTTATACATGTTAGAGTTAAAGCCTAACTCATGGCTAACCAGAAAATGGCTGGAGTCACATATAATGTTGAACCCTAAATCCAATAATAGAATAACAGAGTTGGAAGGGAGCTGGGAGGTCTTCTAGTCCAACCCCACCACTCAAGCAAGAGACCTTGCACCATTTCAGACAAGTGGTTGTCCAGTCTCTTTTTAAACACCTCCAGTGATGGAAGAACCACAACTTTTATAGGCAAACCATTTCATTGATTAATTGTTCTGTCAGGAAAATTCTCCTTATTTCTAGGTTGCTCCTCTCCTTCATAAGTTTCCATCAGTTGCTTCTTGTCCAGCCTTCAGGGGCTTTGGAGAATAGGTTGACCCCCTCTTCTTTGTGGCAGCCCCTCAAATATTGGAAGACTCATATCATGTCACCCCTAGTCCTTCAAGATTAACAAAGCCCAGTTTGTGGGGGTCACACACCATGGTATGAAATGACAGCCACAACCATATGATGGCCAATTTCATACAACCTGCTTAAAACTAGGGTGGCCTTCACACTACCATTCACACAACAAAACACACTCAAACTACAAACCAGCCAACCCCCATTCTATCCCAGTCTGGCATATTCTGCACACAACTAAGGAGAGGAGAGGATGAAAAAGATGCTAGAGGCGTAACATCTTCACCTGAACCTTAATTCAAGATGAGAATTTGCTTTTCAGGAAACATCTTCTCACCATCCCATGCCTACATTTGCTTGTTTAGTGAGCTGGGAGAATTCAATTTTTGCAAAGTTAAGCTGTGGAGTAACAGGATTTACTCCACGGAATTCTCCAGATTTTCTCCACGGAAAGAAAAGAAGCACATAATAATAATAAAAAAGTAAACATAGAAAATGAAAAAGAAACAATAGAGCATATTGTAGGCAGGCCAAACTATCCATTTTGTTGTTTGCCCCGTGCCATTTGTGATTTACCCACCTGAACATCAGGGAATTCCTGCTGCCCAAATAAGAGTGCAAAATGCAGGGGCTGTAATTAACTTGTTCGATTAGAAATAGAGGCACAGCCTGGTCTGTTCCATATCCTGCAAATAGAGCGGCTATTTGGTTAAGATAAGGCAAAAGAATTAAAATAAAAAGCCCTCTTGGTGGCAGCACTGAGCCGTTCTTAGCTTCCAAAGCTAAGTAGGGTTAAACCGGGTTGGAACTTGGATGGAAATTCGGCAAAAATCCAGAGATGGAAAACCCCTTTAAAAATCATGTAAAGAAACAAATGCTGGCAAACTGCTTACCTATAGTTGCCAAGAAAACTCCATCCTGAGTGGGGTTCAAGAAGTTTATTAGCAATCGAGCTTGACTCCAGGGACTTTTTACTTTGCTTTAGAGGGGGGGGGGAAAAGGCAGCATTTGTTTTCAGTAGTTTCTTATTCCCTTGCCAAATATATGTCAGGTTGATTAAAGGTTACCAAGCAAGTCCATGGGGGGGATGGGTTTAGGAAGACAGTCATGATTCGTTTTTCTTGCCATGTACATGTATACATCCGAACTAGAATGTGGTGTTTTATCTGTGTCATATATGTGCGTATATGCATTATTTATTTGTTTATGTATTTATTTTGTCACGTTCATGTAGTGTATATTGGAGTTGGTGACCCTTTGAGAACTGCATGCAATGAAATTTCATTTTAATGTATGTTGATTAGTGTACATTCAAAGTGACAAAGTTATTCTGTCTATCTGTCTGTCTACTAACTAGCTATCTCTATATCGTTAGCTATCTCTCTCATGTAGCTATCTCTCTCATGATCTATCTATCATATCTATCTGTCTATTATTATCTATCATTATCTATCATCTATCTCTATCTCATTATCATGTCTGTCTATCTATCTATCTATCTATCTATCTATCTATCTATCTATCTATCTATCTATCTATCTATCTATCTGATAGACATGTTTCAACGTTGTTTTCCCAAGGTCTGTGCAAGAAATGAAACACATGCAAGAAATCTCGAGGTTCTTCCCGAGCAGTGTGGAAGAAAACCAGGAGCAGGAGCTGGAGCCAAGCACCTACCAAAGTGTCTCGTCTGATCCTGAAGATCAGAGTTGGGAAATGGTGGTCAACAAGAAGCACTTCAAACTATGGAGGCGTCCGGTTGGCGGGGGTCATGTGTACCAGTATCGAGGTAGCCCTTCCCCCCTTTCATATTTACTCTTGTCTTGGTACACCGATCACACGGGTGTCTGGTCAAGTTGGGCTGGAGGACTTGCTAACCCCTTCCAGCTCTGTGACACAAGATACTAACATATATAATCTGCCCTGGCAGAAAAGATGGTGCTTATTTTGCCACCGTCAACATTTGAGTCAAATTTTGGTTAATTTGCTCTGGATATGAGATGGGCAACATTTAAATTTAATTAATCACTAATAATTATTGTCCAGAAGGTAAAGCCTCTAAAAGCCATGCTCAAGATTTACGGGCCGAGGTGATCTTAAAAATCCAGATTTAGGGATTTCTAAGTCAGTCCTAACGTTTTCCAGTGGCTCTCAGTAGTAAGCCCATTTTTTAATGACAAATTTGTGTAGGGAGCCCTCAAGTGACAATCCTATTTGGGAATTTCCATCATTAAGCAAAAGACGTGATTGTGCTACTTAGCGGGCCACAGCTCCAGCAGTGTGGGCTGCGGCCTTTAGACAAAGACCTCACACTTCCCTTGCCCTGTGTGAATTGTCTCTGCTTTAGCTCCCTCCAACATTTAAAATTGCTATATCCAACATCACCTACCCATTTGCTGGTGGCTGCAGAGTAAAATCCCCCCTGGTTTATTAGACTGTTCCAGCTCCTAAACCAATCTGTGTCCTCCTTTCTCTGCCTTCCAAATGTTAACTTCACCCCCTCTTTCCCCCCCCTTTATTTTCCCTTCCTAATGTTTCTGTTCAGACTCCCTCGTGCCCTCAGCTTTTTGCCAAATCATACTGTCAGCAGTGGGAATTAGCAGCTTTTGGGACTTAGAAGCAAAGATGTTTGGGACTATCAACGAATTGGCTCCAGCAGCAGTCCTGGCCATTTACCGGATGGCAGATGGATGAGATTCTCCCGTCTGCCTCCCATATTCATTCTAATACCCGCTTTTCAGTTTCTCGTTGTCTTTTGAGGGCCAGCAGCATTGAACTTCAGCCAGTCCACCTTTTTTATTATCTTAAGAATGCTCCATAGGGCCTAAGTGAGGGCCAGGACTATTATAGTGGCCAAAATTGTGGAAACCTTTTGGGAAAAGTGTATTTTCTAAAAATAGCTAATAACATCACTTTTTCGGGGAGTAGTACCATAAAATTATATATCAAGGGAAAGATAATTGAATCAAGAATGTAATGCAGTAATTTTTATGAAGGATTTGCTATTAGAATAGCAGTTACCATATAAAGAAGAAAAGTGAAACACGTAGAAAAAACGAGCTATACAAAAATGATCACCCTGTCAGTTAATACTTCGTTGGGTAACCTTTAGCATGAATGACGGCCTTACAATGTCTTCCCATGGGGTGAACCAAGTCTTTGAGTTCTGCAGCTGTTCTAATGTGAAACCAAGATTGAAGGATGGCTTCTATTAACTGGGTTTTATTGCTGGGTCGCTTCTGACTAACAAGTTTCTTTAGTCAGCTCCATAGACTTTCAATTGGGTTAAGGTCTGGGCTATTCCCAGGCCATTCCAGCAGTGGAATATGATTATCTTGAAACTCCAAAAAAAAAAAAAAAGTGGTGTTATTAGCCATCAAACCTCAAAAATACACTTTTCCCAAAAGGTTTCCGCAATTTTGGCTACTACTGTAATTGAAATAAATAAGGAAATAAAGATGATATGAGCGGAGGATGCTCTGCTTTTTACTATTTATGCTTTAACTTAAAACTTGAGGCTGGTACATACCAAGCAAGGTGCGTCCAGATTCTTTGGAGCCCACAGATACCTTGTTGCCCACCTATGATTTGTAAGTCTAACCAAGACCTGTGTTTGCTTTAATGTTCTACTACGAGATTTGTCTTTCTATTGTAGTCTTTGGAACGTACACAGATGTGACACCAAGACAGTTTTTCAATGTGCAGGTGAGTTCTCCCACATCTCTTCCTGTTTCTCATTGACAGTAGGATACCTCCAGCTTCAATCTTTAATTCAGCCTACGTTCTGCTTGTCCTGTCCTTATTGTAGGAGGAGTGTGAGGGGCCTCTGAGAAGCATAGCAAAATAGTTCAAAATAGGGCAAATAAAGCAAGACAAAATTAGTGTAAGATATTCTGCTAATACATTTCTCCCGTACTGGTTGTTAAAATGGGTAATGCATATTCAAAAATTGTTGGAAATCTAAAAATCAAGCTGAAACTTTTTACTATATTCTGTGGCGAGCTCAGCTACTTTGGAAAGTAGTTTACTGAAGTTTGAAACAAATCTTAAATGCTCACTTTCCTTTGTTACGGATTTGGTTTTTTTTTTCCTGTTAAATACTGTACTACTAAATATTTCTATAACTGTCACCGAGATGCTTCATTGTTTTTATTGAAAATAGTTTACTGAAGTTTGAAACAAATCTTAAATGCTCACTTTCCTTTGTTACGATTTGGTTTTTTTTTTCCTGTTAAATACTGTACTACTAAATATTTCTATAACTGTCACCGAGATGCTTCATTGTTTTTATTGAAAAATAGCATTTAATTGGGATGCATTTTCTCCTAATTTTCCATTCCTCTAATGAAATGAGAAATGTATGCCTTTTTTTTGCACTTTCTTTTTAAAATAAATACTTTTTTTAACCTGCTTACCTTGGTCAAGCTGATGACCAACTATGTAGGCTTCCCCCACCACTTCTTGTTTGAGATGGAAACAAATCAGGAAACCTCAAGATTTCCAACGTTGACTTTGCAGTCCATTTTTAGAATTGCATTAGCAAACGGAAAGCTTAGGGTAGCTGACTTGAGAATTTGTGGCTGTCAGGTTTCCAAGTGATGAAAAACCCATTCAAAAAAAGAAATTGCAAATTTCTCATCTTCCAAAACAACTTCCTTTATTTAGGTAGGGTTCAAATTGTCAAAGACTATTGTAATCCCGGATCTGACACAAACAGTAATCACACCACGTAATATTGAAAATTAGAAACATCCCACAAAAGTCACAATCCCCAATAAAAGTAAAATCCACATTGCCCGGTTTATCAAACTCCTCCTTTAGCTCTCAGCAAGGACAGCCTCCGTTCCCACGGAAAAGAAGATCATCTAGTCAAAACAAGGCTCACTTACCTATTCCCTCCTCCCATCTTAAGAATGTGGCGAGCCCGAACCCGCCCCCCCCCCTACAAAACAGAGAGAAAGAAAAGGAATAAATGAGTATAATATAAAGCTAACTAAGATGGCTACACGTATGTCCATTTCGGGTCCGACAGTGGCTTCTTCTCTTCTAGCTGGATACGGAATACCGGAAGAAATGGGACTCCCTAGTGATCAAACTGGAAGTGATTGAGAGAGATCGGGACACGGGCTCAGAGGTGGTGCACTGGGTAACTCACTTTCCGGTAAGGCCTCCTTCCTTTGCCCGGTGCTGCTTGCCAGTTGCATTGTCACTTAACCATCCAATCTAACGGCTCTGCTCTTTTCTTCTTCTTCTTCCTCCACCCCATCCCTTTCCAGTACCCAATGTATTCACGGGATTACGTTTACGTTCGACGGTATGATGTGGACCAGGAGAACAATCTGATGGTGCTGGTGTCACGGTAAGGCAGGAGGCAGCTTCATTGAATGTCAAAAGGACAAATCCATCTGTCCAGCCGCTAATCTGCTAAGATTTGGGTTTCTAAAACTTTGGGAAAAGTTCTTGGGGAAAATGCTGGAAGGATGAAGGAGAAACTACCGTATTTTTCGGGCTATAAGGCGCACCTAAATTTAGAAGAGGAAATCAACAAGCCAAGATCCTTGGTAGTACAGTGGTCTAAAGCACCCTGTTATTAGAACAGCTGCCTGCAATTACTGCAGGTTCGAATCTCGCCAAGGCTCAAGGTTGACTCAGCCTTCCATCCTTTCTAAGGTAGGTGAAATGAGGACCCGGTTTGTGGGGGCAATAAGCTGACTTTGTATAAAATATACAAAAGGATGAAGGCTATTGCTTAACGCATTGTAAGGCGCCCTGAGTCTCCGGAGAAGGGCGGCATATAAATCAAATTAAAAAAAAAAAGTTTTTGGCCTCCACATGCCCCATTTTTGGGCCTTTTCCATCCTTTTTCTGGCCCATTTTCAAGGCCTTTTTTTCTGCCGTTTTCTAGGCTTTTTTTGGGCCCATTTTTAAGGCTTTTTCCGGCCCATTTTTGAAGCTTTTTTCAGGCCGTTTTTTTCCCCCAAAAATTGAAAATTTCCAAAAATTTTGAAAAAAATCCCAAAAAGCCTTGAAAATGGGCCGAAAAAGCCTTGAAAATGGGCTGAAAAAAGCCTCAAAAACGGGCTGAAAAAAGGCCAAAAAAATGGAGCGTGTGGAGGCAAAAAAACCGGCAGGGGGGTGGGGCTTCTGCAATATTCGGTCTATAACACGCACAGACATTTTCACGCCCTTTTGGGAGACAAAAAGTTATATTCCGAAAAATACGGTACCTTGTTTCCCTGAAAAAAAAGACCCTACCTTACTATTTTTTAGTAAAAAAATTCTAATTTTTTAGTATTTTATTTTTTTTTGCCACCAAAAAGGCACCAGATCTTATTTTGGGGGTATGTCATCCCCCCAAAATGACTCCCCTCACTTGCGTGTGTCGCCCCCGGCCTCTTTTTCATTGTCAGAGGCCTTCAGGAACTACTACTGCGGCCGGCAAGGCTTTCCTGAAGGTCTCTGCAGCCGATAACAGAGCTCTGGATTGATCCAGAGCTCTGTTATCGGCTGCAGAGGCCTTCAGGAAAACCTTGCCAGCCGTAGAAGGATTGGACCAGAAGGCAGGTGTCGGGGTGTGCGAGGCCTGGCTGCAACTGTCCAAAGGTAAGTAGTAGGGCAGCTCCCACCCCATCCCCACCCTAGCTTAATTTTTACCTGTGGAGTGGGTGGGGTCTTAATTGGGGCTTATTTTAGAGGTTAGGGCTTATATTGGGTGCATGTGTAAAAATCAAGCTAGGACTTACTTTCGGGGTAGGTTGTATTTTCGGGGAAACACAAGTAGTGTGAATGTTGTTGCAAAGCGATAAAGAGCTCTTTTGGAAACTTACATTGTGCTCTGTTTCTTTTGTCCTGTCACTGAAAGCTTTTTTTAGGCGCAGAATAAGGCTAATGTGAATTGTGTAGAGCGTTTTCAGAAGATAACTTTGACAGAGGTACGCAGGAACTATTACCTAGGCCAAAAGGGGTGAAGCATTTTTTTTTTAAAGTCCAGAACTACAAGGTAACATTCTGAAGCAGCTCAGCAAGAGGCCTCTGATTCACTGGAGTAGTTTTAAGAAAGATGAGGAGGTCCCGTATGATCGGAGTTGCAAAATGGATGTCAGCCTGGACCAGATCAAGAAATTAACTGCGCAGGAAGGCTAAACCTACTTAGGTTGGGATTGGCTATAATAATGGGAGCTCAGAAGTCTGATGGGCAGGGGGCTGGACTAGAAGCCTCCAAGATCCCTTTTATTCTATGTTATTCTATGTTCTTGTTCTTATACCCTAGTGAATTAGGGAGGCGTCTGCCTGAACCACTTCAATCCGTATCACCTGGACTTAAAAAAATACTTTAGCCCCTTTGGCCTAGGCAACAATTTTCACATATCGCTGTCAAAATATTCTTTATTCTCTACAAATGAAGCAAACAAAATGTTAAAAAGTTATGATACTTAGGGTAGTTATTTACCAAGCACATCTAAATTACATTAAAGGAACCCAAATACCTTTGCAACACCCAAGGCAGGTCACAACTTTGGAGCGCCTGCTAATGTTTGGAAATTGGAAAGTTGAAAACTTTGACATGCCCTACTCTACAATAATTGCACAAGGTTTGCGGTCCCAAAATTAAACTGATTGTTGATTGGTTTTGTGAAGTATTATGTCCTCTTTTTTTTTTTGGCCAGAGCGGTAGAACACCCAGGTGTCCCAGAAGATCCGGAATTTGTCCGTGTCCGAACCTACGAGTCACAAATGGTTATCCATCCTCACAAATCATTTGATGAGGTGAGTTCCTTTATTTTTATTTTTATTTTTTAAAAAAAATAGGGAATCTGAAATTTAGAAGAGGTTTTCTTTACAGGGAGCAGAAATATTTAAGAGGCTGAAGGAACAATTGTTAATGTGTGTCTGACCCCTGTTATTTTTGACTTATTATACACATTTTATTATATTTTAGGCCTCAGCATTTGACATGCATTGTGTATCATCCCCATAATCCTTGCCAGTCTTTGTACATTGACAGCAACAGCGATGGTCATTTAATTTTCTTTCATGACCATCTTTTGCTAATACAAAATGGGTGGGGCCAAGATTTTCTAAACCAGATACTTTTGTACTTTTAGGTTTTCTTTAGTTCTTGTAAAAATTACATTAAACAGGTTTGAGAATGTGTTTTCTCTCTCTTGCTGCATGTTCCCCACTTCAGAATGATTGAAAGTGGTTAGAAAGTGAGGTTTGCAAACTTAATGTCCTTCAAAAATCTCTGTTGCAATTGTGAGCAAGTTGAAGCCGCAGAAACCCCTTGTCCTGCAGCAGCCTCAAGAGGAGCAGCTGCCTGGAGGACATAGGAGCGATCTGCTGTCCTCTGCTTATACAGAGAGGTTCTAAGAAACTGGTTTACTCATCATTTCTACTTTAGAAAATAGGACAACAGAGTTGGAAGGGACCTTGGAGGTCTTCTAGTCCAACTCCCTGCTCAGGCAGGAAACCCTATAGCATTTCAGACAAACGGTTGTCCATTCTCTTCTTAAAAACCTGGAGCATTCACGACTTCTGGAAGGAGGTCGTCCCACTGATTTTGTTTTATATAGCAAAAGGGTTAAATTGCGTAAATTAACGGATCGTGCTGTTAGGTACGGACCTCCTTGTTACGAGGAGTAGTAGTTAACCAGTATTGTTTCTCGTTGCAGAATGGCTTTGACTACTTGCTCACATACAGTGACAACCCACAAACTGTATTTCCTCGATACTGTGTCAGCTGGATGGTTTCCAGTGGTGAGTGTTGGGGACTGCGATCCTTCAGCGTAGAGAACAGGCTACCAAAGTGGCAAAATGGGAACTCTTGAGTTGGTTGTGTTGGCATAGAGCCGAGGTGGTGCAGTGGTTAGAGCGCAGTACTGCAAGCTACTTCAGCTGACTGCTAGCTGCAGTTCAGCAGATCGAATCTCACCAGGCTCCAAGTTGACTCCGCCTTCCATCCTTCCGAGGTGGGTCAAATGAGGACCCAGATTGTTGGGGGGGCAATAGGCTGACTCTGTAAACCACTTAGAGAGGGCTGCAAAGGACTGTGAAGCGGTATATAAGTCTTAAGTGCTGTTGCTGTTGCTATAAAACATTGGGTGATCTCAGTTCCCCGAATGGCGTGATCTACAACAACGATCAGTTTCAATTTTGAAGCTCTGATGATGTGACTAAGCCTACTTGGCAGATTCGCATCCCAAAATTTACTATGTTGAAGCGAGTTGAGAATTATCCTTCGATCCCACGTGAAAAGAAGTTGGCTTTGTATCATAGGGGCTTCATTGCCCCAGGAGCTTCAGGATCAGGCTTGGTATTGAAGAACCCTTCCCTTTCATTACAGGCATCTTTTTGAACTTATTGGAGTGGGGCGGTGGCCTGGAGGTGGAGCTCTCGCCTCACAATCAGGAGGCTGTGAGTTCGATCCTAGGTAGAGGCAGATATTTCTCTCTCTGGGCACACTGAGAATGTATCTGCTGAACAAAACTCCGTGTTGGCGACAGGAAGGTTATCCGGCCATTAAAACACTCTGCTAGCTCCATTCAGTTGCCCAGACTCCACCCCGCAAGGGATTATGGGATTATTAAATAAAGATGATGATCCTTTTTAACTTATTCAAAATTGGCTATTGACGCTTAGTGGATTTAAAAGGCACCACTTCAGGGTTCCGCTTCTCCCTAGCAGAACAAGCCCCCAGAATTTTGGTTCAGATGTCTAGAAGGTTTCATTCCTGAGGGCAACTCAGGGCTTTGGCCTGCTACAGCAGCTGCATTCTGGGAGGGGAGCAGAGGTCCTGATTTTCCGTGTGTCCCAAGTAGCAATTGGTGCGAGTGGGATTGCTCTTCTGTCTTAAATTCGAGATGAGGATGTCTTTAAGGCATCGATGAGGTCCTAAGCCCCCCCCGCCCCCTATGAGATTGCAGCCCACCAGGATATCCCCTTAATTACAAACGCTTACCGTATTTTTCGGAGTATAAGATGCTCCGGAGTATAAGACGCACCTACCTTTTTTGGTGAGGAAAACAAGAAAAAGAAATCTGCCTCTGCCTCCCAGCAATTTTGCCTCGTTGCAGCAAACAGCCTGCTTTACTTTCATTTTCGTTTTCAGCATAGCTTGATTAGCACAAGAAGAAAAAAAATCTGCTCCCAGCAATTTGCCTCCTTGCAGCAAGCAGCAGAGGCCCACGCAGCAATAGGCCATGGCAATCCCTGCAGCCTGAAACAGCTGAGAGACGGAAGGCCGATCCAACCGACAATCAGCTGCTTGTGCTAATCAGGATGTGCTGAAGCTAAAATGGGCTGTTTCTTCTTGCTGCTTGCTGCAAGAAGGTAAACTGCTGGGAGGTAGAGGCCAAAGGGAGGGGGCCGGTGGGTGGGAGGGGTTACATTTGGTGTATAAGACGCACCCAAATTTTCACCCCCTTTTAGGGGGGGGAAGTGTGTCTCATACTCTAAAAAATACGGTAGTGCTTTTGAGGGTGGATCGGTTTCCCTGACTGCGCATAGGTGTTGGGTTCATGTTGACCGGCTGGTATGCTTTCCTCTCAACCCACCTGTCTTCCCTCTCCCCTCCCTCCCCCACCCACCCATTGTCCCCATCCCAGGCATGCCGGACTTCTTGGAGAAGCTGCACTCGGCGGCGCTGAAGGCAAGGAACATGGAAATCGTTTTGAAAGACTATATCTCCGCTTCCAAATCCTGGGACAGCGGGGGCGAGAAGAGCAACGGGGAAGGGAAGGCCAGCATGCCCAGCCAAGACCATAAGAATGAAGGAGCCTGCAGCCCTATTCAGATAGACTATGCTTAAAAGGAGAGAGGGGCTTGGTTTGCAACGTCGCCAGCCCCACACGCCTCTTGCTCCAGGCTGTGAAAAAGAAAGAAAAAGGAAAAAAAAAAAAAACGCGCCACGGAGAAGGATGCCTTTGGGATCTCCATCACCTCCGCCTGCGCCTGCGCCTGTCCTCCTCCTCTTCCTCTTCCTCCCCCTTCTTCTCTGCCACGTCTCCTCCTTGAAAGAAAGCAACACCGTCAGCCCTGGGGAAACCGGGCTCGGCCATCTTGAAAAACAGTTTTGTGCGGCCACTTCTGCGTCGTGATCTTATTTTGCTCGTCACCCTGGGGTGGGCGGTGGGATTTACTGGAGAAAAACCGCTACGTTCTTGGGTGGTGGGTCTCCTTTCTTCCTACCCCAATACTGGAGACCCCCCTGCAAGCCATTTGGAGAGAGGCTGGTCCTTGCCTCTTCTCTCTCCCGTAGAGATGAATCGCGTGGAGGCCGCCGCAGCCTGGTGTGAGACAAGCCACCCAACCGTTTACAGCCCCACTGCTGGCTCCTGCAACCTCCTGGAGGCTCCAGGGCTGCTCCTTTGGCTTCCTGTGTCTGCGTCTCTCTCTTCAATCTTCTGCTCTGCGTACAGAGGGGCTGCTTTGCTGCCAAAGTGCCTTCTTTTCCCGCCGAGGCACAACGGAATGGCACCTCTTTTGGCCACTGGAATTGGGCGGCAGACCTGCCGAGAGTCCCTTTGGCGTTATGGTCCAGGCTGTTCCCCCTTTCGTGACGTCTCTGTCTGCAGAGCGAAGGAGAGGCCCCCACGTCCTCCTGCCGCTTTAAATCTCTCCCCCTTTTAGAACTGGCCACCTTCTTTCCTCAACAAGATGTGATTACTTGTCGTCCGCAAAAAGTGCTAACGCCACAGTCCCATCTCTTGAATTGGGGGCACAACCGTTTAAAGCAACATGTCTTCGTACGTGTGGACCCGAGTTGTCCCTTCGCCAGGTTGGGCGAGGTGGAGGGTCCTGCTTGGGGATAGGCCCAGCTAGCCAGTTTCCTGGGTGGCCAGAGTAAGAAAAGAGTAAGGGAGGGTACAGTTTTTCCCCCTTGGGGGGATTCGTACGAGTGCCAGAATGCACGGCATAACTATACATGGGACAGGGGAGAACTCCCAAAACTCCTTTGCCTCTTTGGTGTAAGATTAGGAGGGGGCTGGGGAACGGCCTATAACAGAGCTGCTTCATTTGGGGGGGCAGGAAAGTGGTTAACCATAAAGCCTGTTCCTTTCCAAAGGGGTTTTGGAGCCTCTTTTTCAACCCTGGCACCCCGGAGATGGTGGGAAGCAAAGCTGGGATAACCTCCAGTTCGTGAACCCTTGCTTCAAGTTGATTTTATACCACACGCTCAAAACGTACTAATATCAGGGGTCTCCCAACACTCGGCAACTTTAATAAGGCTTGTGGACTTCAACTCCTAGAATTCCCCTCCTCTCCTCCAGCCAGCCAATTCTGGGAGTCGAAGTCCACAAGTCTTAAAAGTTGCCACATTTGGAGACCCCCCTCTACCAATGGACTGAATTTCAGTCCCAACTTCCCAAGGGTGCCTTACTTAACGATTGGCAAGCGGACCAGACGGGATCCCTCGTGCACCTTGCTCTCTAGCTGCCGGGATCCTAAGTCCTGTGTAAAGCACGGAACACTTAACGTGTGTTTTCCGAGCCCAAGTATGCTGGGGCAAGTGCTTCCCACGGGAGGAGCTTTTCCCAAAATGGGTCGTTGGCAGCTCCATGGTGCTGAGGCAGCAAGAGGTTTTGTCTGCCAGTTTCCCCCCACGACCCCCAAAAAGAGGTTAAATACTATTGCAAATATATATATATGTAGGTCTTTGGTTATTCGGGTTTTCTCCCGCGTAAAATTGGAGGTGTCTTGGCGACGTTTCGACGAAGTCTCATTCGTCATCTTCAGGCTGGTGTTTTCGCTTCGTGCTTCTAGGAGCAATGTGTGTGATCGCAGTGTGCAATCGCTCCTAGAAGCACGAAGCCGAAAACACCAGCCTGAAGATGACGAATATATATATATATAATGATAGCCTCCCGTTCTGTTCTGCTTTGTGCATTTCTGCATGTGATCTTTAAAACGAAAAGAAGAAGAAAGAATGGCAGGAAATGGGAAGTAGAGGCCGGTGTTTTTAAGATTTGGGGACTTCAACTCCCAGCATTCCCTAACCAGCACACTGCCTGGGGAACTCTGGGAGTCGAAGTCCCCTTATGTGGAAATGGGTTGGAAAGACATTCTTGATACAGGCTGACTTAACGAGAGCTGCTCATCAGGGATGGGCAGGACTTTGGTGTGGGAGTAGCGGTCAGGAAATAACCGTGTGCATGGGGATTGGGACCGTCTTAATATAACGGCTGAGTGATTTGTGTGTTTTTATTTCAACTAATGTTTTTAATGAGAACCAAACATCAATAAATGTAACTCATTGGTGCTCTCTTCTAACCAAGCTGCCTTCTGGGGGGGGGGGGGGGGGGGGGGGGGGGGGGCAAATGAGAAAAAGCCTCCCGTTGCTAAAAACTTCCTTTGTGTTTTGAACATCTGGAGAGGTTTGGCTTCCCTCGTTTGCATCCAGAATGGAAAGTGTTTTTAGCCAATGTGGGGCTTAGGGTAGGGATGGACTAAATACACAAAGTATTATTAACGGAGTTGGAAGGGACCTTGGAGGTCATCTAGTCCAACCCCCCTTTGCCCAAGCAGGGGACCCCTACAGCATTTCTGACAAATGGCAGTCCAGGATGAAGCTGCCACAGCTTCCGAAGGCAAGCTTAGCTATGTCTCAGAACTAGAATGGGGGATTTCCTGAGACAACGCTGATCTCTCTCTCCACTCCTCAAATTCTGGGCATTCGGTTTTTCCTCCCTGTGATTATATGACATTATCATACAAAATCTTCATGATAACCCTAATCGTTTACAATCTCCGATGACTTTGGCTTTGCCTTCAGAAGACGTGGAGGCTTTTAAAAAGAGACTGGACGGCCATTTGTCTGGAACGGCATGGGTCTCCTCTTTGAGCAGGGGGTTGGACTAGAAGACCTCCCAGGTCCCTTCAACGCCTGTTCACCAGAAGCCTCACATAAAACAGTTAATTTCCTTCCTTAAACCAAACGGCTTTTGAATGACTGTTGTCCTCCCTCAATGCCAGCTGCGACCTTGTTGTCAGACCATAGGAGAATTCCCCGTGCTTGCTCTGGAGGCCTTCAGCTGGGGAAGATCGAACTAGCAACATCAAAATTACAAGCTCAACTTTTGCCAATGGTTCAGTTTGCTTCCCTGATCTTATTCTTGGTGTCCTTTTCATATCGGCCACAAGGTGGCAGCATCCCACCGTGGTGTGGAGATCATTTGATTGAATAGGCCTGTGCCCTGCCAGGTTTTCTTTGAAAAATCTCATTTTCTGAGCCACCAATTTAAACAAGCTTCAAACAAAACAAAAAAACCCCTCATGGTGGCATCCCACAGACAGCTGTTGTGAGATTAAACGGAACACAGGAGTTTTTCATCCATAACGCAACAAAAAGTACAATTTTGAGGAGGAGGAAACTGCTGCATATCAGAAAATGTTTGGAGGCATAGAAGGTTTTTGGCCGCCGAGAGTTAAGCCAATGAGTAGGAAACACAAAGACCAGTGGAATTGCCAAGAAACCAGACCGCTAAGCAATTAATGCCTGCAGAAAGCAAGATAAAAAGAGAGAAAACACACCAAAGGAGCTTCCGTTCGCAAGGAACGTTGATAGCACAAAAGTTGTTTTGTGGCTAAGTGAATAGTGGAAGGAAGGGCAGGGCCACCACATTGGTGAAAACGGTCCTCTAACCGAGTTCCTCAATTCCTACTTTGGTTTTGTGTCTTCAAAGGAGCACTATGTTCTGGTGGACATAAGCAATATAAACAGCTGGAATATCGGGGTAAGTAAAGGAAGGGCTAAGGAGCACCTTGCCTCCATGAATAAGTTGGAAGGCTGTGGATTTCATCCTGAACCCCGTTTGTTCAAGTGTTGAGAATTGTACAAGAGGATCAGAAAAGACTCGATGCTTTTAAAGGTGGAGGGGAGGACCTGGGACTTACGGACTCATCAGCTGACAGTGAACTCAGGCAAAACTTTAGATCAAATAAGCCATTCGTTCATGCACATTTTGAAAATGCATTGCACTGGGCACGGCTAGTCTAGTGAAGAGAAGGACCAGGGGAGACAGGAGAGCATCTTCCAATATTTGAGGGGCTGCCCCAGAGAGGAGGAAGGGGGTCAAGCTATTCTCCAAAGGCCAGACAAGGAACAATGGATGGAAACTGATCAAGGAGAGATTCAACCTGGAAATAAGGAGGAATTTTCTGACAGAACAATCAACCTGTGGAACAGAAGTTGCTTTCGGAAGTTGTGGGAGCTTCATCCCTGGAGGCTTTCAAGAAGAGACTGGACTGCCCTCTGTCAGAAATGGTGTAGGGTCTCCTGCTTGGGTGCGGGGTTGGACTAGATGACCTCCAAGGTCCCTTCCAACTCTCTTATTCTGTTCTGCCCTAACTAACCATGACTGAGAATCTCCACAGATTAGCTAGCATTGGTTTATATAAAAAAAATAAAATAAGTGAAAACACAAGTTAAAAAATGGGGAATCTGATCCCCCCCCCCCCCCCCCCATAGAGATGTTTGTTTAGTTAACCATGGTCAAGGCGTGGCAGTACGTCTTGAGTGAACAAAGCATTTAATAATGCCTTCCATGAGGCCCTAGTAGCGAAGGCAAATTGTGAGCTGGGCTATGCTGCATTAAATGAAACTGCTTGAACAAATAGTATCCATTTTTATTTTTATTTGTATCTCGTCTTTATTATTTTTTGCAAATAACTCAAAAGGCGGCGAACGTATCCGACACCTTCCTCCTTTTTCACACACCACCCTGTGAGGTGGGTTGGGAGGAGAGTGACCGGCTCAAAGTCACACAGCAGCCTGTCAGTCAGAAATGTTTCCGATCTCTTAACCGACATTCAACAAGAACTGCATTTTTGCATGTTAGCATCTCCTGAGGATGCTCCCTGGACAAGGGAATTAGGCCTCCAAAATCTGTTCTATTCTATGTTACATTCTATGAACTGATAAGTCTGGCTTCCGGTTTTGAACCTTTTAGGTTTATCAGAAAAATAATATATATTAATGCTTGTTTGGCATCAAACCCACATACAATAGGCACCATGTAAATGGAGGCTAAAACATGAAGAACGGTTGCAGGAACTGGTTAGGTCTAGTTTGATGAAAAGAAGGACAAGGGGAGACATGATAGCAGTGTTCCAGTATCTCAGGGGCTGCCACAAAGAAGAGGCAGTCAAACTATTCTCCAAAGCCCCTGAAGGCAGGACAAGAAGCAATGGGTGGAAACTAATCAAGGAGAGAAGCAATTTAGAACTAAGGAGAAATTTCCTGACAGTGAGAACAATTAATCAGTGGAACAACTTGCCTCCAGAAGTTGTGAATCCTCCAACACTGGAAGTTTTTAAGAAGAGATTGGACAACTATTTGTCTGAAGTGGTGTAGGGTTTCCTGCCTAAGCAGAGGGTTGGACTAGAAGACCTCCAAGGTCCCTTCCAACTCTGTTATTCGATTCTATTCCGTTCTGTTCTGTTTTTGGAATATTCAGTGATTCTCAGACGGCAAAACTAGTGGATTCCAGCGGAGGCAGACTAAAATAACTGGGATGATTTAAGTGATGCGATGACACACAAACCAGAGCAACATTCTCTTCTTCACCACAGAGCATATTTTGAGGAGACCAAAGCAACAAGCCAGCGATCGTGCAGAGATTAAAAAGTGCTTTCCCATAAATTGGATGCGGTGGAAATCATCGGGACGATCCGCTTCAATTTGGCAGGATTTTCTGCCTCCAAACTCAAGCGAAAAGAAGCCACCTGCTTCTCAGCGGCAAAGATGCAAATCCCAGCCATGTCGATCTGCCAACGTCTCTTTTCTAGACCTTACCATCCTCCTGGCAGATGGGAACAAAAATGTGTGGGTTTTTTTTTTTAAATTTAGGGGTGGGGATTATTAACCCCTGAGGATGTTTAGGGCGCCCATTTCAGGCTTTCAAATTCTGCTCCCCAAATTAGGAGAGAAGGCTTAGAGGTGACGCAACAGCTACTTGAAAGGCCGTCACCGAAAAGAGGGGGCTGACCAGAAGTGTGATTGAGCCGGTTCGCGTGAACCGGTAGTTAAATTGCTGGCTTGCCTCCTAGGCCCAAAATGGGGCACAGTGCTGTGTGTGGCACCCCCCCAGCTCATTTTCACTCCCAGGAGGCTGCAGGGAGGCCTACTAGGCCCAAAATGGGGCACGGGGTGTGTGTGGCTGCCCCCCCCCGGACTCATTTTCACTCCCAGGAGGCTGCAGGGAGGCCTACTAGACCCAAAATGGGGCACCGGCTGTGTGTGGTGCATTTCCCCCCACCCAATATTGAAACTCTGCCATCATGTCTCCCCTGGTCCTTCTCTTCACTAGACTCGCCACGCCCAAGTTGTTCTTGGGGTTTTCTGCCACATCTCTCACTTCTGTTTTTGTGGCGATGAGTGGGGACAGACTGCTAAGCTTTTCACCCAGAACTTTGTCCGACGAGACCACCGAGGCAGGAGGGTTGACTCACACCGGAATTGGCACTTCACACAGTTCACGAAGAAGCCACGTTACAATGGAAACAGGAAGCATATGTTGAGTCCCTTGCCGATTGTGGGGGCTTCCAAAAAAAGCTTTTGTTCAAACTTTTGACGAGTGGGTGTTCAAGTCCCACTTGGGAGGGAGGCTAAGGAGGAAGTCAGGGTCTCCTTTGTGTTTCAAAGCGAAAACTTTAAGTTAAACACTGTTCTTTTTAGCAAAAGTATCTTGTTTTCCACAAAGGGGACCTTTTCAACTCCGGCTCTCCATTGAGTGGAATAAGTTGAGTACAGTATCAATAGTCCTGGACTTAAAAGGTAAAGGTTCCCCTCACACATATGTGCTAGTCGTTCCCGACTCTAGGGGGCGGTGCTCATCTCTGTTTCAAAGGCAAAGAGCCAGCGCTGTCCGAAGACATCTCCGTGGTCATTTGGCCGGCATGACTCAACGCCAAAGGCGCACGGAATGCTGTTACCTTCCCACCAAAGGTGGTCCCTATTTTTCTACTTGCATTTTTTACCTGCTTTCGAACTGCTAGGTTGGCAGAAGCTGGGACGAGTCACGGGAGCTCACCCCGTTACGCGGCACTAGGGATTCGAACCGCTGAACTGCCGACCTGCCGATCGACGAGCTCAGCGTCTTAGCCACTGAGCCACCGCGTCCCTACTTACAACCGCATCGTGGACTGAACAACCGTTCGTTAATTGACTGTTGGAAGTTACAATTTTAAACATTTTATTAGATGATAGAATAAAATACAAAAATACGAAAGCAAATAGTAGGACACAGTAGGGAGGAAAAAGGGAAAGAAAA